TATTTTTTCAATTATCAAAGCAAAAAACTTTTTTGCGCAAATAATTAAATGCAGTGTTTATAAACGATGTATAACTAAATGTTACCTATATAGAACTCTCGGATTGTTTATATATAGGAACACATACGAGAGAAAACACAAAGAGAAAAAACGTTTAGTGTAGTATTTAATACAATATTAAAAAGTACAATGCAAATAGTACAAACACAAGGTAAAAGCACAAATAGAATTGTGCTAATATCGCATTTCCCACTAGGGGGCAACTTATCTCTGGTAAGGTGCACACTGCAGATTCAGGGAATCATTCACAAGTTTATAAAGTAAATGTACAGCAGTTTCCAAGTGCTGAAAGACTCAAATTCGCTAACAGTTCACCACAGTTCCCTTGGAGTTTTTCATCCAAATTAGTTATTCGATTTGTCCTCATCCAGGACTTTCTCAAGAGTTTATGAATGAACATTGTTACACCCTGTCAATCAAACAACCAGTTCTGTTACTTCCTGGTTTGATTAGCTCAGTAGACCTAAACACAAGAGGCAGATATTGCACAGAGCACCTGCCTTGCCATTGAGCTGCATTGGGAAGTCTGTGATTGGACGGCCACGGAAAGTCTGGGCGGGGTTAGAAGGGGAGGGCTTGCAATGGCTGCAGACAAGAGATCTGCAATGTTTGCAAGCTGTGTTTAGATATACCCTAATAAAAAATGCTTAACTAAATTTATCCAAGTTTTCATTTGGAGTGTATCTACTAAACTGTGTTTTTTAAAATTTATTTTGTATTTGGCCAGTGGAGTATCCCTTTAATTATATTTCCAAACTAAATAAAAAAAAGTTAACAAAATAATGATACACATAAAATGAGGAATAAAGTTAACAGGAGAGGAGAAATGTATAGGCAAGGAGTAAGGAGCTTGATAGAGAGATACAGATATACCTGTTACTAATAGGGGTTATTAAGTAATTAAGGGGATTTAATGGTATACTATAAGTGCCAGGAATACAAAGTTGTATTCCTGGCACTATAGCTCCCTCATGCAGGATGCAGGAAGCGCCTCCAGTGGCTGTTTGGGACACAGCCACTGGAGGCACACTTAGTGCTGCAATTTAAACATTGCAGTTTCTCTGTTTAATATTGCAGCACTAAAGGCAATAGGGACCTGTACCCAGACCACTTCAATTAGCTGAAGTGGTCTGGGTGCCTATAGTGTCTCTTTATGGTATGGGGGATTTATTGATGGAGAATGATCTCTTATACCAAGTAGCGATTTCAAGCATTTTTCTTGTTACAATTGTGTGTTTGGATCTAGAGAGAGGATATACAGGGTCTACATACGGACAAAAGTGTCTTGGTTGCCGGTGTAGTAACATTATTCAGGTACTCCACTCGAGAGAGGTAGAATAGCTTATCTTTGTATAACAATATCATATATAGGCCTCAAATTAATATTATTAAATTAACTTTCCAAGTGATTTCATATTTTGGGATAAACTTTACAATGATTATATGAACATGAAAAATATTTTAATTGAGTAATATTTTGTTTTTAGTTTGATATTTATTGTGTATACGATATTTTTTTATATGAGAAAAACAAGGCGCAAGAGAGGTGAGAACGGACAAAAGCTCAATTAGGCTTCCCTTCGGTGCCTTGTTTTTTGAGTCTTGTTTTTTGCTCTCCATAAGTTTAAAGGGTAATCCAGACGTGGACCCCTTTCTCACGGTGCCTAGAGAGATATCAGCTATGCCTCACTGATGATGCCTAACAAGGTTGAAACGATCGCCAGGGGTTTCTGTGTCTCTCCTGCAGAGGGAACTTGCTGTCATATCGTGTCTGGACTGCCCGTATGGGTGAGACCAGTCTGATATGCTTCAGAGATGTTCTCTCTGTAATGGCACAAGATGAGCTAAAACCAGCTTCTGAGCGGGGACCCACCGAAGGGCAGGCTGTTTCAGCTGCTGTCCGTTCTCAGTACACTCTTGCACCTTATTTTTGCTCTCCATATTTTTTTAGATATTAATGTGTTGAAAAAAATCATTTAAAAAGTTTATCCAAAATATTAAATCAAGGCCATAATTAGGTATGGCAAGGACTGTGAACATGTAAAACAATTATAAACAGCATAATATCTAGGTATATACCGCTCAGCACGCTGGGGCCCTTTTTTTTTTTTAACCCCTTAAGGACACATGACATGTGTGACATGTCAGGATTCCCCTTTATTCCAGAAGTTTGGTCCTTAAGGGGTTAAATAACTTTTCTCTTACTATCTCCCTATCATAGGTTGGCTAGTTCGATCAATGCTGGTGGGCCCTCTAAAAAAACATCAGAAAACGCAATGGACTTTCCTATAGAGATTTATTTTCAAGGATCCTTACAGGGACACTGTACTGTAGTCACCATAACCACCACAGCTTAACGTAGAGGTTCTAATGTCTGTGCCTGTCTCTGAAGGCTTTTTAATGTACATTGCTGGCTTGTAAGACCTGTCGGGGCAGTCACTCAGATGGCCTCTAAAGGTGAACAGCAGTTTTCTGCTCTGCATGGAGGTACAGAATGTTCCCCATAGAGATGCATTGATTCAATGCTTCTCTATGAGGAGATGCTGATTGGCCAGGATGGTGTTTTGCTGCGCATGCGCAATAGTTTCTCAATGAACATTTTTTTATTTTTTCCTGGAAGCTCGAGTTTTCATAAAATACATAGGAAAATACAGGGACTACTTATCTTCACATATAGCAGTCAACCTAAAAAAGGCTTGCAATGGGCGGAGCTTAAAGCGAGGTTCCCTATCAGTTACCAATAAAATTTACCCACAATCCATCAGTTAAGTCAATCGCACAGAATGCAAACAGCAGACATCATGGGCAGAGAACAAAATGGCGGCTTTAGATCCGGCAAGAGGCAAGAAGGGAGCATAATCGTTTAAATACACAGGGCATGAGGAAAGACAAACTGAATGAGAAAAAAAGTGACAGGGTCACTTTAAAATATTTAAATTACATACATTCACATTTTATTTATATGTCTATCCTATGCAAAAATACCATTATTATGGTAGCAGGGACACTTTCTATTTGGGCCCAATTTCTCTCTATCCCTTCTTTCTATCCTAATGTCCCTCTTTTCTTGGAGCTCCATATTGTTGGTGTGTCTGAGTGTGTCACAGAGCTCCACAGCAATAATACTCCCAGTAATGTGTCTGAGTGTATAACAGAGCTCCACAGCAATAATACTCCCAGTAATGTGTCTGAGTGTATAACAGAGCTCCACAGCAATAATACTCCCAGTAATGTGTCTGAGTGTATATCAGAGCTCCACAGCAATAATACTCCCAGTAATGTGTCTGAGTGTATAACAGAGCCCCACAGTAATAATACTCCCAGTAATGTGTCTGAGTGTATAACAGAGCTCAACAGCAATAATACTCCCAGTAATGTGTCTGAGTGTATAACAGAGCTCCACAGCAATAATACTCCCAGTAATGTGTCTGAGTGTATAACAGAGCTCCACAGCAATAATACTCCCAGTAATGTGTCTGAGTGTATAACAGAGCTCCACAGCAATAATACTCCCAGTAATGTGTCTGAGTGTATAACAGAGCTCCACAGCAATAATACTCCCAGTAATGTGTCTGAGTGTATAACAGAGCTCCACAGCAATAATACTCCCAGTAATGTGTCTGAGTGTATAACAGAGCTCCACAGCAATAATACTCCCAGTAATGTGTCCGAGTGTATAACAGAGCTCCACAGCAATAATACTCCCAGTAATGTGTCAGCGTATAACAGAGCTCCACAGCAATAATACCCCCAGTAATGTGTCTGAGTGTATAACAGAGCTCCACAGCAATAATACTCCCAGTAATGTGTCAGAGTGTATAACAGAGCTCCACAGCAATAATACTCCCAGTAATGTGTCTGAGTGTATAACAGAGCTCCACAGCAATAATACTCCCAGTAATGTGTCTGAGTGTATAACAGAGCTCCACAGCAATAATACTCCCAGTAATGTGTCTGAGTGTATAACAGAGGAAAGACAAACTGAATGAGAAAAAAAGTGACAGGGTCACTTTAAAATATTTAAATTACATACATTCACAGCAATAATACTCCCAGTAATGTGTCTGAGTGTATAACAGATTTCCACAGCAATAATACTCCCAGTAATGTGTCTGAGTGTATAACAGAGCTCCACAGCAATAATACTCCCAGTAATGTGTCTGAGTGTATAACAGAGCTCCACAGCAATAATACTCCCAGTAATGTGTCTGAGTGTATAACAGAGCTCCACAGCAATAATACTCCCAGTAATGTGTCTGAGTGTATAACAGAGCTCCACAGCAATAATACTCCCAGTAATGTGTCTGAGTGTATAACAGAGCTCCACAGCAATAATACTCCCAGTAATGTGTGAGTGTGTAACAGAGCTCCACAGTAATAATACTCCCAGCAATGTGTCTGAGTGTATAACAGAGCTCCACAGCAATAATACTCCCAGTACTGTGTCTTAGTGTATAACAGAGCTCCACAGCAATAATACTCCCAGTAATGTGTCTGAAAAAAACCCAAGGCACACCAGAATTTGCACATAAAAATTATTTTATTCATGCAATACAATCCTGTAATAAACAGACTTGACAGGAGAAAAACATTTTAGAACAACAGTCCCAAAACCACTATTAAGCAATAATAAGTATCTACATACCCCCATACAAAAACAGCATACTGACCAAGAGCAGGAGAAATGATAGCCCTGACGTTTCGCCCCCTAAACCTTCCGCTGGGGGAATCTTTATAGTTAACCTGAGTTATCAAAATTAAATGGCCACTATAAAATAAATTGGGCAATATAAAATAAAATAGGCGCTACATAGTGCAACGTAACAGTACAAGTTTGACGTATCATGTATGGCAAAAATAACTGGTAATAAATCTAAAGGAAAATATAAAAGTAGATGTAGATAATTAAACTGATACAGTCGGGCGATGTGGACTGAGGGGCTGCTGAAGGAGGGATAATGATGTTATTATTGGGAAAGTTCTGGGGGACTAAACGACTCGTAAAGTTGGAGAGAAAAATAATGGTATGTCGAGCAGAAAATGGGACATGACATGTGGAAGGAGCAGACTGCAATGGAGGGTGTAGAGGTTACAACTGATTTAGAACTTTCAGGAACCAGGTAGATACAGAGATAATACAGAGATAATACAAAATGGATAATGGTGGGGACTAATGGTGAGACTGAGGCCCAGGAAACAGAAACCCAGTCTGGGAAAGTAATGAAAATGAACAATTAAAAAAGAAACAGGAAGAGGAACTAAAGGTGTAAAGGACAAGTTAAAAATTAGGTCTGGGCACTGCCATCGTGGTCCATCCTGTAAAGATGTCTCTGATGATGTCCTCTCTGCCATCACTGGTCCATCCTGTAAAGATCTCTCTGATGATATCCTCTCTGTTATCACTGGTACATCATTTAAAGATGTCTCTGATGACGTCTATAGGCGATTACTCTAAGTATAAAAGTGCTTTTTCCATTATAGATACATTTTATTTACTTTTTCATGTTGCTTCACGGTTTTGCAGTCTTTATTTAGAGAGGAAGTGAGAGATTCCGGGACTCATTCATGATGGTGTTTGTATCTCTCTTGGTCTCTCCTCTCAGTCCCCCCAATGTTTGTATCTCTCTCTTGGTCTCTCCTCTCAGTCCCCCCAATGTTTGTATGTCTCTCCTCTCAGTGTTTCTCACTCTGTCTCTCCTCTCAGTCCCCCCAATGTTTGTATCTCTCTCTTGGTCTCTCCTCTCAGTCCCCCCAATGTTTGTATCTCTCTCTTGGTCTCTCCTCTCAGTCCCCCCAATGTTTGTATCTCTCCCTTGGTCTCTCCTCTCAGTCCCCAAATGTTTGTGTTTCTCACTCTGTCTCTCCTCTCAGTCCCCCCAATGTTTGTATCTCTCTCTTGGTCTCTCCTCTCAGTCCCCCCAATGTTTGTATCTCTCTCTTGGTCTCTCCTCTCAGTCCCCCCAATGTTTGTATCTCTCCCTTGGTCTCTCCTCTCAGTCCCCCCAATGTTTGTATCTCTCCCTTGGTCTCTCCTCTCAGTCCCCCAATGTTTGTGTCTCTCACTCTGTCTCTCCTCTCAGTCCCCCCAATGTTTGCATCTCTCTCTTGGTCTCTCCTCTCAGTCCCCTAATGTTTGTGTTTCTCACTCTGTCTCTCCTCTCAGTCCCCTCAATGTTTGTGTCTCTCACTCTGTCTCTCCTCTCAGTCCCCTCAATGTTTGTATCTCTCTCTTGGTCTCTCCTCTCAGTCCCCTCAATGTTTGCATCTCTCTGTCTGTCTCCCCTCTCAGTCCTCCCAATGTTTGTATCTCTCTCTCTCTCTCCTCTCAGTCCCCTCAATATTTGTATTTATCTCTCTCTCCTCTCAGTCCCCTCAATGTGTGTGTCTCTCTCTCTGTCTCTCCTCTCAGTCCCCTCAATGTGTGTGTCTCTCTCTCTGTCTCTCCTCTCAGTCCCCTCAATGTGTTTGTCTCGCTCTCTGTCTCTCCTCTTAGTCCCCTCAATGTTTGTGTCTCTCTCTCTCTCTGCCTCCCCTCTCAGTCCCCTCAATGTTTGTCTCTCTCTCAGACCCCAAGTGTTTTATCTTACTGTCTGCCTCCCCTCTCAGTCCCCCAATGTTTGTATCTCTCTCTCTCTCCTCTCAATCCCCCAATGTTTGTATCTCTCTCTCTCCTCTCAATCCCCCAATGTTTGTATCTCTCTCTCTCCGCTCAGTCCCCTCAATGTTTGTGTCTCTCTCTCTCTGTCTCTCCTCTCAGTCCCCTCAATGTTTGTATCTCTCTCTCTCTCAGTCCCCAAGTGTTTTATCTTACTGTCTGCCTCCCCTCTCAGTCCCCTCAATGTTTGTATCTCTCTCTCTCAGTCCCCAAGTGTTTTATCTTACTGTCTGCCTCCCCTCTCAGTCCCCCAATGTTTGTATCTCTCTCTCTCTCTCTCTCTCTCTCTCTCTCTCTCTCTCCTCCTCTCTCAATCCCCAATCATTTTAATCTCTCTCTCTCTCTCTCTCTCCTCTCAATCCCCCAATGTTTGTATCTCTCTCTCTCCTCAGTCCCCTCAATGTTTGTCTCTCTCTCTCAGTCCCCAAGTGTTTTATCTTACTGTCTGCCTCCCCTCTCAGTCCCCCAATGTTTGTATCTCTCTCTATCTCTCGCTCCTCTCAATCCCCCAATGTTTGTATCTCTCTCTCTCCTCTCAATTCCCTCAATGTTTGTATCTCTCTCTCTCTCTCTCTCTCTCCTCTCAGTCCCCTCAATGTTTGTATCTCTCTCTCTCTCTCTCCTCTCAATCCCCCAATGTTTGTATCTCTCTCTCTCTCTCTCTCCTCTCAATTCCCTCAATGTTTGTATCTCTCTCTCTCTCCTCTCAGTCCCCTCAATGTTTGTATCTCTCTCTCTCTCCTCTCAGTCCCCCAATGTTTGTATCTCTCTCTCTCTCTCCTCTCAGTCCCCCAATGTGTGTATCTCTCTCTCTATCTGTCTAGGGTTACACTGTATATTTCCTCTGACTATGTATACAGCCTTCCTCTCCTCCTCCAGATTCCTCCTCCTTCCTTGAGTTGAGCTCAGTGTCCCTCCTCCTCCTCCCTCACTAGTTCAGCTCTCGCAGTTCCCATGCTCTCTCTGAGTTTGTTAATATTGAGAGCCAGCTGAGTGAGTTCCCCCTGCAGTGACAGTGTAGCCCCCAGCACTCTGTGTGGACTGACCATGCCCACCATGTCCTGTAAATGCAGGGTACCAGTCACCCTTATCCTGCTGCTGGTCTATTTCTGCTACCTGCTGGTGGGGGCTGCTGTCTTCTGGGTTCTGGAGAGCAAGGCTGAGGTGGACCAGTCCCTCATCTTCAAGCAGGAGAAGTGGGAACTCCTGAAGAACCACACCTGCATGGACAATGACACCTTGGAGCAGTTCATCAAGGTAAGTGAGAGGAGTGTCCTTCCATATAACATGGGATACTTCAAGTAAACCACTCATGTGTGGTCTTCAAACATCTGGTGGGAGGAGAGCAGGACCTGCCAGGTGACAAGAAGCAGTGGCATTGCCCTTTGTTACATTAATGTCACAATATGTTTTGTATCCTGGGGTGGCCTGCACTGTCATCTGTTTCAAGATGTGACTTATCCAGATGAATTGTCTACATGATATCTTATTTCTTCAAGTTCAGCTTGAGTCAAAATGTAGTGAAGTATGGAATCATAAATAAGTAAGCAAGCAGATACTAAAAGTTAATGTGTGGGATTCGTTCCAAGAGCTTCCAATCTAGTATCACTGCCATAAATTATTATTATTTATATAGCGCCAGCATATTCCATAGCGCTGTACATTAGAGCTGTAATTGTTGGGGACTGATATGGTAGTGGGCAACATACTGGTATATCGTCTGGTTAGAGTAGTGGTAACATCACAGCCTTAGAACTGGGGATACCCATTCAGATCACGTAACCAGTAGGTGTCCTTGGGTAAGACACAGTACGGTATATATCCACCTATCTCAAATCCTTATAGCTTGTGAGCTGGATTGAGCAGGGCCTTCTTCATCTCCAAATATGCCCTTTTTATAATTGTAAAATGCTGCTGCGCAATATGTGGCGCTATATGAATAATAGTAATATTTTCTCTATATATATTTCAGTCAGTTAAATTTTAAGGGTGATTATGATTTTACATTTTCTGTGGGGTGCCTGTAAAATGTTATGTTATGCTATAATGTATCTGAATGTGGGATTTATCCACTAAACAGTATATTGTGGTGATTGGAAAGACAAAGTCCAACAATTAGGACAAATTATCTGCGTTTAACTCAATTCAGTTTAGTCATTATTTAATTTAGTGAGTAAATTGGTATTTTCAATTTTGTAACTGTGTTATTGTTTTAATGCAGCACAATTTAAATTTAGTAAGTGAATCCCTAAGACACCAGCGTTATTTTCCCCTGATGCCCGGAGCCTACCTTATCAGTAGTTACTAATATACTATGTGATTGTTAGGGAAATCCTGGAACCCTCCCTTTTGTACACTTTTTTGTGCCAAAAGTCCCTATAAAACATGCACATGCAGTTTTACTCAATTAGAGGGACACCCTCAACACCTTAACCCCCTATGGCTTATTGCATGTCTTATTATTATATTATATGACTTATTATACAAATTATTGTACGTCTTATTATTATATGACTTAATATACAAATTGTAGTACATTATATGACATGGCCTATTGTATAGCTTTAGAATGTCCCATGCAATAAACTGCACAATAAAACGCACAACAAGCTGTACAATAAAACGTACAATAAGCTGTACAATAAAACGTACAACAAGCTGTACAATAAAACGTACAATAAGCTGTACAATAAAACATACAATAAGCTGTGCAATAAAACGTACAACAAGCTGTACAATAAAACGTACAATAAGCTGTACAATAAAACGTACAACAAGCTGTACAATAAAACGTACAACAAGCTGTACAATAAAACGTACAACAAGCTGTGCAATAAAACGTACAACAAGCTGTACAATAAAACGTACAACAAGCTGTGCAATAAAACGTACAACAAGCTGTACAATAAAACGTACAACAAGCTGTGCAATAAAACGTACAACAAGCTGTACAATAAAATGTACAACAAGCTGTACAATAAAACGTACAACAAGCTGTGCAATAAAACGTACAACAAGCTGTGCAATAAAACGTACAACAAGCTGTACAATAAAACGTACAATAAGCTGTGCAATAAAACGTACAACAAGCTGTACAATAAAACGTACAACAAGCTGTACAATAAAACGTACAATAAGCTGTACAATAAAACGTACAACAAGCTGTACAATAAAACGTACAATAAGCTGTACAATAAAACGTACAATAAGCTGTACAATAAAACGTACAACAAGCTGTACAATAAAACGTACAACAAGCTGTGCAATAAAACGTACAATAAGCTGTACAATAAAACGTACAAGCTGTACAATAAAACGTACAACAAGCTGTGCAATAAAACGTACAATAAGCTGTACAATAAAACGTACAATAAATAAAACGTACTGTACAATAAAACGTACAAGAAAACATACAATAAGCTGTGCAATAAAACGTACAACAAGCTGTGCAATAAAACGTACAATAAGCTGTACAATAAAACGTACAATAAGCTGTGCAATAAAACGTACAACAAGCTGTACAATAAAACGTACAACAAGCTGTACAATAAAACATACAATAAGCTGTGCAATAAAACGTACAATAAGCTGTGAAATTAAACGTACAACAAGCTGTGCAATAAAACGTACAACAAGCTGTACAATAAAACATACAATAAGCTGTACAATAAAACGTACAATAAGTTGTACAATAAAACGTACAATAAGCTGTACAATAAAACGTACAATAAGCTGTGAAATTAAATGTACAACAAGCTGTGCAATAAAACGTACAATAAGCTGTACAATAAAACGTACAACAAGCTGTGCAATAAAACGTACAATAAGCTGTACAATAAAACGTACAACAAGCTGTACAATAAAACGTACAACAAGCTGTAGAATAAAACGTACAATAAGCTGTGAAATTAAATGTACAACAAGCTGTGCAATAAAAAGTACAATAAGCTGTACAATAAAACGTACAACAAGCTGTACAATAAAACATACAATAAGCTGTGCAATAAAACATACAATAAGCTGTGAAATTAAATGTACAACAAGCTGCGCAATAAAAAGTACAATAAGCTGTACAATAAAACGTACAACAAGCTGTACAATAAAACATACAATAAGCTGTGCAATAAAACGTACAATAAGCTGTGAAATTAAATGTACAATAAGTTGCAGCGGTTTAGGTCACTGACGTTCCTCTTTAACTGTTTCAGATAAATACTGGGGTCAGTTTTTCCTGGTTGCAGGAAAAAACAATCTGCTCCTGGGTTTAAGACAATTCAGCAAATCCAACCAAGAATTGTATAATTTACTAATTAAAAAAATTACCAGCTAACAGTTTTTTCCTCTCGTTTGTATTTGTTTGTACAAATAATGTTTCAGATGTACGAGAAGCCTAGGTCAGCTGATTTCGTATCTGTTTGTTCGAGATGTGAGATACTAATGTTTGCATTTACTTTGTGGCCCCAATAGTAAGAGAACACTGCAACCACCATAACCACTACTACATGATGTCGTGGTTATGGTACCAGGAGTGTCATTGCGCCTCGCCATTGTAAACAGTTAAATCATTTTAGAACGATTTATCTTCTTACTCGTGGTCCCCAAACTGCCTTTACAGCATCCAACAGAAACCCTGAGCTAAGCACCACGGTGCAAAGCTAGCATGCTGGCTGAGAGTGCCAGCTGATCACCCTCAGCCAACCACAGACAGCTTCCTGCTCCCTCTAAGATGTAATGGAGGCAGGGAGCGGACCCCTGGTAAGAAGTCATACTACTCCTAAATGGTTTGACTGCCAAAGCATTCAAGGCACTATGCTCTGTAGTGGTTATAGTGCTTGGAGGGTTCCTTTAAGCCACCTCTAATGCTACGCTTGATCAGTGCTCTGACTATGCTGGTGCTTTATCGATAAAATAATTATCAGGGGAGGGTTAAGAAACTATTGAAGATTATTTCAATTATAATAAATCAATTGCAGCTTGGAGGATAAAATTCAAGGATTTGTGATCTGGCAAAAATAACAGGATAAATGTATATCTTACCGGGACATTACAGTTGGTCTAATAAGGAAATATGAAATATCTAATTTCTCCTGTTTCTAACGTTAACATTACCAAAATATTACGTTTTTTCTTCTAATATCCCATTACAGTCAGCTTTACTGTGCTAGAAACATTGTTTATATAGCCTTGTCCAAGCACTGCTCACACAATGTAGCTGGACTGTCTTTAAAGGAAATGTCATTTTTAGCAGCTTCTGCAGTGAGCCCTCCTTAGACCAGGAATTGGCTGATGTGCAGATGTTTTCTCTGGAGTTCCTGACCATAGCTCCTCATCACTAGATGTTTATAGAATATGTATTTCAGCAATTTCATTCAGCTTGCCATATGGCTCCATTCATGTTTTCACATAGAGGGAGCTAGTTGCACGCACAGCCTGTTAGACATTGTGAGGATCTGTTTTCTAAGTAAGAACTGATGTAGCCATAGCAACGGGGTGATCTTTGCAATTATAAGCAAGTGTGTGGACGTCTGGGATATCGTTTGCACCGTACATTATACAAGAGTTATAAGCTATTGTGGTGCCAGACGTTTCCCTTTAAGATAAATCTTCTACAAAATGTAAAATAAATCCCCCAACTCCCAAACAGTGCTCTGTGCACCTAGTTTAGATTATTTAAAATTCACAATCATATAACGTGATTAAATCTGCACTCTGGAAAAAGTACATTTTTTAAATATTATACAAACTCTGCTTATGCACAGTGTGTTATACTGGGCAAAGGGTCAGATTAAAGCCCTCTATCTGTGTGTAATGCACAGGGTATATGGCTGGAGCACTACGTTTCTTCGACACACGGGAAGGATTCACACACGGGGAGGATCACTCAATCATTCTTAGGGCCCATCACATTTCAGCTCAGTACAATTTCTATAAAACGTACATTGAAAGTTTTACGACTTATCAGAGCTGTTAATTTTTTTTCTTCTGGATATTTTTGATTGGTGGGAGCTTCTTCAATGGTTTGCGTTGATCTGATCTGGATAACAATATTTATTAAAAGAACTTTCATTAAGAGAAATGATTGTGTCTTGCAAAGGCCATGGCTCTATTGCCTTTAATTGGGAACTTTAAATTAGCAGACACACAGGGGTCTCCTCCAGGTAAACAGAGAGGGCACTTGAGTGTTGCCCAGGAATTAAAGGAGCAGAATTAGCAGGAAAAGGTCTGTGCCCAAATTCATAGTGATGAACTGGGTTTCAGTGGGCCCACTCCCCATGTCTGGAATGAAAATGGTTTGGCCCAGATGTAGGCTGTGAATTGTGGAGTCTTAAGAACAAACCTGGCAAATTTTCAACTATGCCAATTTCAGAGACACACATCTGAATTCTAAGGAACCAGTTCTCCCCTCCATTGCCTACAATGGAGGGGAGAACTGGTTCCTTAGAATTCAGAGGTAAGTTTCAACCCTTGATGGTCAATGACATCATAACTGGGTGCCATTTCAACCTGGCCTTTAATGATTTTTTTCAAAGTGCAATGTCCCGCTCATGTAGTGGCGAGAGGACCAGCAATGCTGGATTGGTGTGAGCCAGATAGTGATAACAGGATGAAAGGCCCCAGGTCCTTCAGGGGAAAACACATTTACTGGAAAAAACTGTTTTAGAAATTTTGTTATAAAAAACAAACAAATATGTGTGCCCTGTTACCTTTAAAATCAGCGAGCGCTTTACTTCAATTAATTCCCTTTTTATTTATTTATTTCTTCTGTATTTGTCTTATTAACACAATGAGCAAACAGATATTGCCTTTTCTGTCATCCTTAATGACTTGGTTTTAGCTGATTGGAATTCCCGACTCAGAGCAAACACTGCTCAACTCGCACTCCGTGACAGCTGTTTGATGTTGTATCTGGCAAAGTAAAGAGGAATATTGCCCGCTTCCTCACCCATGCAAGGGGTTGTAGGCTGCCCAGGTGCGGGCACATCTGACATTATTAACGCACACAACCAGCCGTTATAATGGATGTTAACAGTGCCAGCAGCACAGCTACTCCGGACTACAACTCTTATCATGCTGAGCAAGAAAAAAAGGCTACGTTCCTGCTGCTAGGCACTAAAATAATGCTCAGCCAAAGGGTTTATTTCTAGACTGCCACTCTCATCACCCTCTAGACCAGGCTTCCACTACAACTTCCATGATTCTCAGCCTATCTATTTCATTTGTAGAATCATGGGAGTTGTACTTCAGCAACATCTGGAGGGCCGGAGTTTGGGGAAACCTGCACTAGACTGTAAGCTCGTTTGAGCAGGGTCCTCAACTACCTATTGTTCTGTTACATTTTGTTATTGTCTTATTTGGTAAATTCCACTCTTAAAGCGCTACGGAATAAGCTGGCGCTATATAAATACCAATAATAATAATATTAATAATCATTCATAGCCGGTAGGATTGATTTCCTAATTTGTGTGACTTGATCTTGTGATTAGGCTATCTCTGGAACTGCAACTCCCCAGCACTGGATTAAAGTAGCACGTAATCAATCTCATCCATTAATTCTTGCTGCCGGCATGCTGGAGAACTAACCCTATCAATTGCTGCCATGGTTTAAACGAACAGGTGCATGTTAAGTGAAGCACCTGGAGCTTTCCTTTAAACACCCGGCTGAGAGTTGTGTTATTGTAATCTAATCAGCATCATTCAGGCAAGAGTCTTCCAAAAGGTGACAAGCTGGCAGGAATGGGACTAGAAGTGGTTTTAGCAGTACATGTCTGTGTGAGTGGGTAAGTATCTGCCAACAGTAATCACAGCAGGAAACACCGCAAACATTGTGACATTTACTTGTTTAAACTATAATCCTACCTTGTCACACTGGAAAAGTTTAAACCTAAATATCCATTGTCACTTTATTGTTAAATGTCACTAGGCCAGCACGCAAGACATGTATGGATGGATTGCCACAGTTAGTCACTAAACTTACAGATGTAGCAAGCGAAATTGATATTTTAAAAATAACTCAAACTATAGCCTAATAAACTGTAACCGAGTTAGAGAATGCTTCGTGATCAGCTATATAAAGGTCATCTTTCCCCTCAAAACTATTGCATCAATTGTTTTGGAACAGTTGGAAATAGATTTTATTTTAATGAAGTATATGTAAAAAATGAGAGAAACTCCTCCCTACATTTAGAATATGACAGCATCCTTCAGCCATATACATACACTTAGGGTCGGACAGTCAATGGTCTTCCTTGCTTCTCTCTCTGCATAGAAACAGGGAAAACCATAGAGACTAAGTGTTCGTTTTCAAACACTATCTGACCCAAGGTGTATGTATATGGCTGAAGGATCCTGTCCTATACAAAAATGTATGAAATGTTTATTTTATTAAACATAGTTTTGAGGTGACTGTTGTCCTTTAAGCCTTCATTTTGTCGTTCAATTCACTACAATTTATTTTTGCTCGGTCTGAGGACCCTGGGCGTCCCCCGGATAAGGTAAGTACCGCCACAGTTTCAGAATGTCCTTACTGTGTTCTACAGTCTGAACCGACCAATACAGCTAGTCTGGGCTGGCAAGAGGGAAGTTAACCCTTAAGTCGCTCCATCCTGATTAGGTCCTACAGGTTCCAAAGATTCTCGTGCGTCGTTATGGCCGCTTGTATAGACTGTGACCCAATCCTGTGCATCACTACTCTTTAAACAGAGGACACGGAGAGCTTTACACTTTCCCTTTTTGAAAACAAAAACTTCATCAAGAGACGTCTATAGACTTAGTCTTGTAGAGTAGACCAGATAAAGACTGCAGATGGAGATTATTTCACGGTGTAATACCCCAACACACAGAATTTAGATAGGAGATAACGTATTACCGGCCCGTAGAATGGCTGCACTAAACGTTAGACAGAGAAAAAGTGTAATCAGAGACGAGACGAGGTCAAGGCAATGGAGAGACAGCGAAAACAAGAACTAGCCAGAGCCAGCTACACAGTAATCAGTCAGACAGGCAAACAAGACAGGAAATGGTTAGAGATAAATTCAGAGTCAGATACAAAGCCAAGGTCAATATCAGAATAAAGAGATCAAGGAATGTACTGAAACAGAAACCACGATAGGGCAAAGTGGATAGGGCTATGGAAGTTTAAATATCCTTAACTAACATTTGTTTGGCTCACGTCATGCCCACGCCCCCAAAAAATGTGTGTGTGGGGGCGTCGGAATGATGTGAGCCAATGGGAGCCTGAATCTACTTTTGGCTCCCACTGCCCCTTTAAGAGCGCGCTCCTAGTACCAGGGGGGTTGCGTGACCGCTCATTGTGGTCAGTGCACGTGGCCTGCTCAGAAGGGGAGATTAAGCCACGCGCCCCCCGGTAAGGTAAGTACCGCCATAGTTTCAGAATGTCCTTACTGTGTTCTACATGAGGAGAAGGCCTTGTGTGGTGTCCTGTATCTACATGTGCTGTGACCCACACTGGAGCTGGGGCCTTTGCTGGGGTCTTCTATAACTGCTCATACTAAGTATCCAGGGCGCTAGATGTTCCAGATGTTCTGGGCAAATCAGCTGCTTCCACCAGGTGAAGACAAAGCTTTATCTCGAAATTTCCCAAACTCCTTTCCTGTTGCTGTACTCTTCCATGGGGAACACTGCTGTTCATGACAATATTAAGAGTTCTAGTATTTAAAGCAGTGATAATGAACCTCAGATCAGGATCCTATATCTGTCCTTCTCATTATTTTACTGGGTCACCAAAGATAGCAAAGGAAACATCATATTTATCAGGCAACTGCCCAGAATATATCTACAGATGCAGTGCTGTCTACCTGGGGTCCATGAGGGCCTCTGAGACCCTGGGGAGAGTTTAATGAAGGTGAAATAACTTTACTATCTGATACGCTGCAATTAAAGTGGGCCACTGAGTCACTAAGCTAATTTTAACATTGAGGAATGTATCACCCATAATACATGTTACTATGTATATAAAGATTTACAACTTTGAAAAACTGAATTGAAAAACAACCTTTGAGTTTCAAAAGGAATGGGTCACCAAGTTCATGCTGTGTTCATAACTTGGATCCAGGTGAAAAGACCTAACATGCACCCCTGCTTCACTTCACGGGACATCACATTATTCTCTCTCCCCTTCTGTGACTCTTGCCTTGTTCCTGTCATTAGGTGTGCTATTGGCATAATGGGTGAGGTTCACCTTCTAGGACTACCCTGTCCGTATCATGTTTGAATAAGCAAGCTCCGTGTTACATTTTTAGTAAACACTGTTTACATAGTGTAAGCCTTGTTTTGTTAGCTGGTGACACAGTGACACAGTGACACAGTGACACATTGTATTGCTATGAGGAGTGTTTTGTCTCTTATGGTAACATTTCACACGTATCGTCATTTTCTCTGCATTGCAAACAGGATAGTCCATCATTGTGATGACATAAAACAATATCACGAAGCAGAGAATCTGGGTTCCATGAACGTCACTGATTGCCACAGAATAAATTACATTAAGTTAGCTGCTCACTCCTTGAATGGCTCCTGGACCTCTACTCACATGGCCTGGAGCAAAGGTCACACATCTTGCCACACATCAGACCTACTAGCCCTTTCACCATACTGGCATTGCCAGGAGAAGGAAGGGTTAATTAACTTGGTCCATCATATGGTAGAAGATATGTGCCCTGTATGTGTTTGCATGTAAGGGGAGCATCTTCCCCATTTTGTGTAAAAACACTGAAGTGATTTGATGAAAGGTAGTGTTTTCCTGGCACCTACAGCTCTACATAGATGAATAAAAGATTTGGAGATAAAACCATGAGTATTACGCTGGAACACAGACTTTGGGGTTAAACCGTTCGAGAATGATTTAATCCCTTAGCACAAGGGATATCCCGGTACCATAACAACTTAATTTCAATGATGCTTTTATGGTGTCTGGAGTGTTCTTTTAAGGCCAGAGTAGCCAAACTGAAAGCATAACTGGCTTAGAGAATTTGTCAAGTTTGGCTATATTCACCTTAAATTTAAAATTCACTCTTTGAAAATAACCCTGTGTGACACTATCACCCTCTCACACCGAATGTGTGGACTTTGTTGTAACAATTGTTGCAATTGTTAGCGATAAATAATAATGATTATTATCCCCTGTGAATGAATGGGCTGTTTACTCAATGTTTAGTGATATATCTGGATTTGTTTCATCAGACCATGTGAGACCATGTGGGTCTGTGTGTAATTGTTTATGTTGTGAAAATACTGCGTTATTCATTGATTGACAAACACTGTTGTAAGTGGAAATGTCCTTTCAGATAACACAATGATTTTACACATTTGCTTTACTCATATATTTAATGGATTATTCCTAAAGTACCGAATAAGAAGTTTTGCACTAATCAGATAATTTTTTTTAAATTAACATTAATATCCCCCTCTTATTGAGTATGACAGGAGTATTCAGAAGTGCTGGATTTAACCCTGCAATGTAAACATTGCTGTTTTTAAATAAGGACAGGACATTCAACCAGGCCACTTTTGGATGAAGTGGCCTCTGTGATTTTAGCGGTCCTTTAATTGTGGTAATCTACCCTGCATGAAGCTTGGGTTAGAAGTCGTACATCTTAAAGCCACCAAGAGCTTGTGGAATGACTAATATTCTGTACTAAGATCCTTAGAACTGACAGTAAGTAAACACCTATGTGAAATTCCTACTTGAGTCAAAGACCTGGGATTTAGCCAGCTGACTTCTGACCATGGGCCACCACGACATTGTTCTCTAAATTATTGTTGACTAGTATCAATGACCCTAATAAAATTTATTGGCAAAACAAGTGATGATAATGAGGTTAAGGTGCGATAGATATCTCTTCTGAATACTCTAATATTAAACCATAAAAAATAATACCAGCAAATCTGGATAAACAAAAAGGAAAAAGCACCGGGCTTGTGAAATCTGCACTCATTTCCTGAAATGATTTATAATTCTCAGAACATTAGAAGTGTTTATTATTTAATGATGTCTGGTGATTCTCCTACACTTTTCTTCCCATTTGATTGGAGCAGCTACATTGTTTCAGATAAATAGATCAAATAACCAAAACATCCGAAAAATTGAGGACCATTGTCTTATTTTAAGACCCCGTGTCACCCTTTCTCCATGTGATAAGGGATTTATTGCTGCGTTAGTACGGATGTTACCATGGCCCAGCTACTAGGGTGTAATATCTCCAGCCTGGGGGACCCAGCACTGAGGGGATTCCAATCAGTAGATGGAAATGCGTTACTACAAACTGTAAAGCCATAATTCTGGTGCATTCACTGTGTTCATTGACCATAGCTATGTTTTCTATTCACATATTATCCCGTCAGTGTAGGCTCTGTGGCTATGTCACTTCTAAATCCTGCTAAATTTTCAGGCTGGACAAAAGTGGTAAGTGGTGTCCCTCAGGGTTCTGTTTTGGGACCACTTCTATTTAACATATTTATAAATGATCTTGAAATAGGCATTGAAAGCCACGTATCAGTGTTTGCAGATGACACAAAACTTTGTAAAGTAATAAAATGTGAGCAGGATATTGCTTTGTTGCAGAGAGATTTGGATAGATTGGGGGACTGGGCACTAAAATGGCAGATGAAATTTAACATAGAGAAATGCAAAGTTATGCACTTCGGGGTTAAGAATGCACAAGCAACTTACACACTAAATGGTAGTGAATTAGGGATAACCACACACGAGAAGGATTTGGGCATTGTTATAGACAACAAATTAGGCAGCAATATGCAATGTCAATCTGCAGTTGCTAAGGCCAGTAAGATTTTGTCATGTATAAATAGGGGCATAAATTCTCGGGATGAAAATATAATTTTGCTTCTTTATAAATCGCTGGTAAGACCACACCTTGAATATGCTGTGCAATTTTGGGCGCCTGTTCTAAAGAAGGATATCATGGCACTGGAGAGGGTCCAGAGACGAGCTACAAAATTGATAAAAGGAATGGAGCATTTTAGTTATGAAGAAAGGTTACAAAAATTAAATCTGTTTCGTTTGGAAAAACGGCGCCTGAGAGGGGATATGATAACTTTATACAAATATATTCGGGGCCAGTACAAACCTTTATCTGGAAATCTATTCATAAACAGGGTTATACATAGGACACGAGGTCACACATTTAGGCTGGAAGAAAGGAGATTTCATCTAAGGCAAAGAAAAGGTTTTTTTACAGTAAGAACAATAAGGATATGGAATTCTCTGCCTGAAGAGGTGGTTTTGTCAGAGTCCATACAGATGTTTAAACTGAAATTGGATAAATACTTACAAAAACATAACAAACAGGGATATAATTTCTAATTAGTGGAGTAATAGCTGATTGATCCAAGCAGACATCTGACTGCTATTTTGGGGTCAAGAAGGAATTTTTTCCTAATTTGTGGCAAAATTGGAAGCGCTTCAGACCAGGTTTTTTGTCTTCTTTTGGATCAACAGCAACAACATTTCTGAGGAAGGCTGAACTTGATGGACGCAAGTCTCTTTTCAGCTATGTAACTATGTAACTATGTAGCTACTGTAGTGTAATATTGCTGCTAATCTTCTAGTATCAATATTTGATTCTGATTGTCTGTCTGATGTGGCCTGGTTTTGTCTTAATATGTTTCTGTCCTCTGCTAGATGTTACTTAATGCCGCCTGCACTGACCGAGGTCAGTGCAGGCGGCATTAAAGGGACTCTATAGTGCCAGGAAAACAAACCCATTTTCCTGGCACTAGAGAATTTCATTATCTATTATTTATTTATTTATTTTAACTGACCCCACACAGAATTACTGTCCGAAAAGAGTTCCAGGAAATCAGGCTGTGTGGTCGGTCTATTTCGGGGATTCGTAGTAGCATATAAAATACTAAACGTATAGCTTCAGGAGTAGGCTTAGTTTATGTCTCTCATTTGGGAGTTTATTCTTACTGAACGCTGTTCGATTCCCATTCGAATAGTCGAACAGTGGAAGGCATGTGGTTAGTGGTGTTCGTACCGTCGAGTGTCCGATTTGAGTTCCGTGTACTCGACGACCAAACACCGCTCATTGTGCCCGCAGCTTAAGATGACTGCCACCCCGTGTTCGAATGCCAGGCGACCACTTCGAACCGCTTCGGGAGTTCAAAGTTTAACCATACAAGTCTAAAAGGCACAAACAGTGTCTTTAACCAAAGTCTATTACAGGAACCATAGTCACAGGGCAGGAGGCTGGCAAACAGGCTCCTCCAAAAGCCAGTGGCGAGGTTACTTTAGCCACAGAAAGAATTATTAAGTGTTTTCCTACGGGGATTCCAGCGACACTGGAGGTTTCCACGCATATCGTGAGGACGTCCAGCGTCATTTAGACAACCAAATGTCTAAACTTGCAAGGTAATTATTGCAGTTTATAAAAACTGCAATAATTACACTTGCAGGGTTAAGGGTGATGGGAGTTGGGAGTTGGCACCCAGACCACTCCAATGGGCAGAAGTGGTCTGGGTGCCTGGAGTGTCACTTTAAGGAACAACTAAAACCTAAATTGTTACTTGATTATCAATAGTAGTGCTCCTCAACCCTCTCCTCAAGGTACACCTAATAGTCCAAGATTTAGGGATTACCCGTGTGTGTCTAAGGTGTTTAAAAAAACAAAACAACTAAAAACAATTTAGACTCTATGGTGTTTTTTTTTTTCTTTTTCTAAGCACTTTAGACACACCCGGGTAATCCCTAAATCCTGGACTGTTAGCTGTGCCTTGAGGAGAGGGTTGAGGAGCACTGTTTCTGACATTGACTGAACTTTGCTCACTTCTTCAGTAGTTATGGTGTAGCCCATGAGCCAAAGTGAACCATCACAAATGCTGTATGGATACTGAAGGTCATACGATTAATGGAAAATAGCTAGAAAACTGTGGCGAAAGTGACCTCGCCACTGGTTTTTGGAGGGGCCTGTTTGCCAGCCTCCTGCCCTGTGACTATAGCCCTGTGGTGAACTTTGGGCTAAAAACACAGTTTGTGCCTTTTTCCTTGCTATGGTGCAGTATATGGGCCTTGTCGAATGGATAAGGCTTATGGTGTTCATTTACTGAACAAACTGACGAACAGCCAGACCACCCGCAAGTGGTGTGCGCTGCTTGTTAACCTCCCAGAAGTTGTGGTTAACCACAGCTTAATTAACAAACGGCTGGGTGGTCATCGTTCTTATGCATGAACACGTGGCGGCGGCCATCTTAAACTGTCGAACGGCCAGCAGTGTTTTGTCGACGAGCGCATGGAACTGTTTTAGCTGGAACTTCCAGCAATTCGTTTCTTTTTCCTACGAAAGCAGCGGCTTTCGGTACATTGAAGCACATGAACAAGAGACACTGGAGAATCAGATACACAAACAGTCCTTTCGTTATTTTAACTTGTTTCCCTGCCCCTGAAATAGACCGGCCGACCCAGCTGAACTTATGGAACTATTCTGGGCAGTAGCCTCGTGGGCGGCCGGGCAGAAATGTGACCTCCAGCTAACTTTATAACCCCTGAACCGATCTGGGTGATTTTTAAGTATGTTGTTCCCCCAGATCGGGGTTATCAGGAAATGTATGTTTTATGGGGGTCTTCTATGTTTTTAGGGTGATTTCAGAAATGTGTAAAAACTTGTATTTTTCGTTTGGAGATAATTGAGTTGATACAGTAATTAACTCAATTATCTCCTAAACAGAAGGGAAGGATTGTGTACACTGTATGGGAGTGACTGAATGTAAAACCCTGTTTCTATTGGCTTGTTAATCCTGTGTCCCTGTGCCCAACTAGGTCCACCTGGGTGTCACCCTTGTTGTAAAACTTGTATAAAAGGCCATCAAAGGCCAGTGTGCCCATTAAACCTTGAGTTCCTGTTTTACTCTCAACATAGAGTCTCTGTCTCATGTGTGGGGGGAAAGGCTGCATCTACCTTGGGGATTGCTATACCACTATACTCCCCAGGGATTATAATCATTAAGCTCTTTTAAGAGCTGTTCCTGTTGTTTCCTTTTGGAGGAGAGGTTCCCCCCACTGGAAGCTGGATCCTGATCTTGGCACTGGGTCGGTGGAGGATGGCGAGTCCCAGCCAAGTTGTAAAGCTGGACGTGGGGACTGCGGTGCTGATGGTGTCTGATGGAGTGCTTGGAGTCCTTGGGGAGCAGTAGGAGCATCCATCCGTGGAGGTACCCAACTGGGGTACAGGAAGCTCTGTTATAAAGACAAATATGTAAGCATTTTTTTTTTTATAATAAGTGGAGTTTTCCTGTTGGAAATATATGTAAATGTTAAATGTACCATCTGCGGGTGGTTTAATGTATGTTTAATTTCCAGCTTTTGGACTGACAGCTATGGCTCTGCTTTCACACTGTATTTTGTAATTTTTATAAATTTGTCAAGCAAACGTCTCCAGGGACAGGGTTTTGGAAGCAGGAAGCTAAAGTGGTTATGGTGTCTCCTTTTAAAGGGGAGCCTCAATTCATAGGGTTTTTAATATGATGTTTGCATATCTGTTATATGTATTTGTTATTTGTGCTCGGAATTTAATTGGTTAAAGAATGTGTTAGAAGATGGCTGAGGTGTGCCGAAACCAACGTATGAGTACGCCTGTAATAAATAGAGGGCAAATTGATGATGCAGGAAATTGTGATATCATTTTCAAAATCTTTAAATATTGGAAAATGGAAAAGAAAATGGAAAATCAGATGGAATAAAGGATAGCACTAGTTATAGGTGGTTTTCAATGTTTTACTCAGTTGTGTAAATCCTGAGAAGTGACACTTCCGTTTATGTTGTGTATGAAATGACAGTAACACTTTCATGATGTGTCATGTTTACCGGCTGCTCTTTCCTTATCAGGGAGCTGGATAGAGACAAGGCTACTGAAGAGATAGCCAACTGAAGAGATATTTCTGTGACCTGACGGAAGATGTTTATTGAGTAACATCCAGTTTAGATGAAGATGTTGAATTTCTCAGAAACAGGAAATAAACTCTGTGTTAAAGAGCATGTGTTTCAGTAAAAGTGCAGCCTGCAGGTCCATCTCACCCTAAGAATACATTGTTTGGCCTTTTGACAGTCAGAGGTTTATTCGCTAAACAGGAAATTGCTTATTGATTCACGTGGGGAGAAAAGGAACAAACATAATAGTGGCCACAATAGATAGATGTCAGAACACACTGTGCATTGCAGTTTGCTGCGTATGGGGCTTCATACCGCAGACCAGTCAGAGTCTGGTGGAGTGTGGAAGCTGGCCTCCTGCCAACTGACTATGGTCCAGGTCTGAGACACTGTTTGGGACCTACCTTGCCCCCATTAGCAGCTTTCCCTTGGTGCCCCTGGTTCGCCACTTTCCCAAATGGAACCAAACACTAGCTCTCTGGCGGCTGTTCGCATGAACCAAACCTATGAATAGTCCTCAGCGGTACTTAGCTGCGACCACTATGGAACTAATTTCGGCATTGAGGACTTCATGGGTTCTTGGTCACATCAGCGGGACTTAGGCACGAATGTTATGGATCCTTTTTCAGCATGAGGTGACCGCGCAGTTCACTGACAACTTGGTTCGCAGTTTTGAACCACTTTAAAATTCGCCAGGAGAGCGCTTTTTGGAGGGATGGTGCCTGAGACTAAGGGGAACAAACGCTGCCTAAGAGCCAGGCAGAGCACCCCATATTGCGGCCGCAGGAGCTCCTGAAATTTGACTGGCAAAAGCACCAAATGCCCTGGAACTATTTTCAGCACAGGACCACGTGTGTGGCCAGTCAGAACTTTAACACGGTGGCGTTTACCCTACACTGTATGGATCTGAGCGCTATTTGGAGAAATTGGCCATTCAGATCAGGGCTATTTGTGGAGTTATTGTATGTTTTATGATGTTTTGGGGTGCTTTTATGTTTTTTTTGTGGTTGGCTCTCTGTTCCTGTGAGATAATGAGCTTACCGGTCTTTAACGCAATTATCTCCCAGGCACAGAGATTCCTGGAAGGGACTTGTCTTGAATACAATAGAACTGTGGTCTGTTCATAAAAGGCAAAGTTTGGCTCATTAAAATCAGTTGCACTCCCAGAACTATGTGTCGTCTAGTTACTGGGAGGGGAAAGGACTAATCACTGTTCAGCACTTTGTTCCAGCTCGTGGAGGATTCGGCGGCTAAAGTCCTTATAAGGACCAGAGCTCCCAGGACTGTGTGTCATCCAGTCCTTGAGAGGGAATAGAGCTAGTCCTCTATCCTGATCCAGGATGGAGAGGCTCCAGGAGGACCCCAGTCAAGCCACAGTGACTGGAGCACAGCTGGGCCTCCAGAAAAGATGGACACATTACAAGAAGCCCTGATCCACGCGTATGTCCTGTTCCGCCACCTTTCGCATCGACTTGCTGGCTTGAAGAATTCCCATGCAGTGCTGATCCTGGTTCTACCCATAGCTGGCATTAGGTGATCCAGGACTTATGGACTGAGCTGTACAACACTCCTGCTCCCTCAGTTTGCCATTGGAAGCTCCTTCAAGAGAGAGGACCATGCTGTTATGTCATTACCAACAATGGTGCACTACTATGACCTGTTGTTAAATGTTAATTGTTATATGTTAATCTGCCTCAATAGCCACTCGTGATGCATCACACCCTGACATATACTGCTCAAGCCTCTGTCTTATAACAAAAACAGTGCAGTCTTATCATATCCCATGCAATTCTTTTTTTGGAAAGGTTTGCCTAAGCTTGTTCTTGCTGTTGTGGCATTGCAAGCATGTTTGTAACCCTAAGCACAGACCAGAAATAAAAAATGACAAAAAAGAAAGAATAAACAATACATTTTACAAACCCTGTACCTATAAGGGGCACAGTGTGACTTAGACATAAGAATATCCTGGGGACCTACATCCAGTGTCCGTCTCCAGCCCCCAGTGATGGTGACCGATGGTGGACCGATGGTGACATTACATATCAATATATTCTGAATATACGTGGATGTCTTTAATTCAATAAAAAAATGATCAAACAATGTTTTTGTTCTCTTGGCGTGAGTCAGTTAACTCCACATTTTCTAATGAATTGTGAAGATAATGTGCTAAATAAGATACAGTAAATAAATCATTTAAAATGATATGATTTAGAGCAGTGAATTTTTATTTTCGCTTCTTTTTTTTAATTAACTTCTATTTCTGTTGAAATGTTTGCCTAGTATTCAGCGGGAGAGCACGTATTCCCTTAATAGGCCCTTCCTATTTGGTTTTTATTCACAAAGACTTATAAAGGAGAGCAATAGCTTCTCTGAACAGGATAATTTCATATGAACTTAACAGTCTCATAAATACGATGTTTTATGGCCATAAAATGCAATTTGAAAGAAAAGGCTTACCCAGTAATTAAATTTACTACAGACACAGTAAACCTCGCAAGAGGTAATTAGGAAAATACACGGCTGATTCTCTTGATGTTGGTGGAACAGCAAGTATTGCTCAAACGACATATTCACCTGAGAGAAAGAATCTTCTAAGCACGTATTAGGGATTTGTAAAATATGAAACTCTATATTACATACATTTATTATGTAGCACGTCATGGAAAGTAAATGTTGCTTGCATGCTAAACTTGGTTAATATTAAAATTCATAACTAAGGAATATATCATATAATGACATAGATTGTAAGCTCATCTGCCCATAATTTGGGATGTTACTCTTTTTTTTCTCACTGAAAAAAGTTAACCTAAACCCCAATGTACACTTTTAAAATAGCAGAGAAGAGATTTATCAAGGCAAAACAAGAAGATAATCAGGGGCAAAGTGCTAAATTAGGAGCAATCTGTTATTTAAACATTTACATTGGGATATGGGTTAGCATGCAGATATTGTTTTTGTTTTGTATACAGTGCGGCTGAATACCATAATATATGTTCTTTCGTTAGAGTTTTTTTCCTTTGAGTACAACAAAGACGCTTGTCTAGAACAGGTGATATTCTATCTATGTAAAGATAGGAAAACCAGTCTTTAAAAATATTTGCTTGTTGCATTATTAAAGGAACACTATAGTCACCTAAATCACTTTAGCTAAATAAAGCAGTTTTAGTGTATAGATCATTCCCCTGCAATTTCACTGCTCAATTCACTGTCATTTAGGAGTTAAATCACTTTGTTTCTGTTTATGCAGCCCTAGTCACACCTCCCCTGGCTATGATTGACAACTGGTTTCACTTTCAAACAGATGTAATTTACCTTAAATAATTGTATCTCAATCTCTAAATTGAACTTTAATCACATACAGGAGGCTCTTGCAGGGTCTAGCAAGATATTAACATAGCAGGGGATAAGAAAATCTTAATTAAACAGAACTTGCAATAAAGAAAGCCTAAATAGGGCTCTCTTTACAGGAAGTGTTTATGGAAGGCTGTGCAAGTCACATGCAGGGAGGTGTGACTAGGGTTCATAAACAAAGGGATTTAACTCCTAAATGGCAGAGGGTTGAGCAGTGAGGCTGCAGGGGCATGTTCTATACACCAAAACTGCTTCATTAAGCTAAAGTTGGTCAGGTAACTATAGTGTCCCTTTAAGGTTTAGATGCAGGTGATGAGTTTTTGCATGTTGTGGCTGAGTATTGGTGTGTATTCCTGTGTTGCCTTCTATATTATTAGAGTAGGATGAACAGGTATAAAGAGATTTTATATAATGGCGGAGGAACAATATCGTACACACATACAACACTTCTCTGCTTCGCGCTCTGGAGAAAAGGCGGCGCAAAAAAACCACGAATTCACAGTATTGTTATTACTGGAGAATTATTCTAGAATACCATTAGCATTCTCAAATAATATCTCCACAATGCCACCCATAATTAAACACCTCAAATATGTCAGCTAAAATCAAATTATCAGCAAATTCGAAAGTTCAGTTGGATTTTCCTTGAGGTGCAACTGCAAAACCAGATTGATAGATAGAACCCACTTTAGTTACTCATCTTCTCTTATTGCCTCCAATGGATGATGGTCAGCGCAATAAAATCCCTGCCAGGTGTATGTAGCCTTCATGTTCTGAAGTGCTCATATTAACTCAGTATGTGGGAGTACTATGTCCAGGTAATCTTTCTGGATCTAGAAAGTCTATGCTCAGAATCCCCCTGTGTCTCCCAGCTGTACTGGCTACAATATCACTGTTAGTGCAGGTACTGATAAGACATTATGAGAAGGGTAAATGTAGAATCACATAGACTTTGTTAATTTTAAAAATAAATTTTTGCACAATGAAAATGTAAACAGTCCAATAAATTGTGATATCTTTAAAGAGAAATGTCCATTTGTTTCTTTGTCGCTGTGTACTAAGCGCAACTCTTGCTAGGTTGCTTAGAATGCTGCTCACAGTGTATACATTGTCATCCTTAGGAAATTACTGCTTCCTGTGTTATACTCCAACAATCTCACACACCGGTTCTCAGGGACACCGACAAAAATAAAATAATAGCATATGACAGCGTGCGAATATTAACAAAACAGCTGGAATACAATGCCAAAGGTTTGACAAAGATAATGAACAAGGGTTATTTACGTGGGTTGATTCATATTTACCAGTAGAGATTCGTACAAAGTCACTAGAATGCAGAAATAATGACTGTGTAGGAGTATACTACCTGCATACAGCAAGTATAATTATACCGAGTGTCTGTGCTGTACAGGACATGTAGTGTGTAAATATAACCTATAGTGTGCTCACCTCCTCCATTCCTCTTTCCTCGCTACTATAATTATTGTTATTATTTATAAAGCGCCAACAAATTCCGCAGCACCGTACAATGGGAGGATTAACCTACCACAGATTGGTGCATTATGAGAGGAGGGCCAACTTCTACAGAAACGCAGAGGGACATAATTAGACATTTACAGAGAAATTGGTTTTCCTGCAGGCTGATCGCCAGTGCTGGAGCACAGGGAAAGTAAAATGTTGTTTTCATTGATTTATTCTGCAAAATGAAACATAGCACGTGAATGTGCACCGATGGAAAGAAAGGGTTTAATCAGTGGCGTACACATGACCCATGGGGCCCCGGTGCGAAAATTGATCCGTGGGCCCCCCCCCGCACGCGGGCCGGGCCGCAACACATGGCGGTGGGCACCTGGTCGCAGGGGTTACAGGGATGCGACCCCTGCGACCGCGGTATGTACGCCAGTGCATGCAGATGCACACACACTTAAAGGACCACTCTAGAGAAACTGCTATGTTTATGAATGGGTTAAGCCTTCCCCTATTTCCTCTCGCGGCTGTCTCATTGATTTTCACAGTGAGAGCACGCCAGCGTCCATAGGAAAGCATTATGAATGCTTTCCTATGTGATCGGCTGAATGCGCGCGCAGCTCTTGCCGCCCGTGCGCATACAGCCGACGGGGAGGAGAAGAGGAGGATCGGAGGAGGAGAGCTCTCTGCCCAGCGCTGGAAAAAGGTAAGTTTTACCCCTTTTCCCCTTTCCAGAGCTGGGCGGGAGGGGGTCCCTGAGGGACCACTACAGACACCCAGATCACATCAGCTCAATGAAGTTGTCTGGGTGTCACGTCCCTCTAGTTTTAACCCTGCAGCTGAAAACATAGCAGTTTCAGAGAAACTGCTATGTTTCACTGAGGGTTAATCCAGCCTCTAGTGGCTGTCTCACTGACAGCCGCTAGAGGAGCACACTGAACGTCCATAGGAAAGCATTGAGTAATGCTTTCCTATGGGCGATTTGAATGCGTGCGCGGTCGCATTCAGAGCTGAGAGGCTGAGGGATCCCCAGCGCCAAGGGAGTCCGGCGCTGGAGAAAGGTAAGTGCTGAAGACACACACACACTTACAGACGCATACACACTAGCTAACAGACACACATTTACTGACAGAGACACAGTCAGCGACAGACATACATACACTCTCATTGACAAACACACACTCACTTACAGACATCAAACAGACTCACTAACACACACACTCAGTAAGACACACACAGTAACACACTCACTGACACTAACTAGCAGACACACACACTAACACTCACTCTAACACTCACACACACTCAAACACTAACACTAGTTTTTTGTTTTTTTTAAATGTAATCCCCCCAGCCTCCTTACCTTTTGGAGTGCTGGGGGGGATTCCCTGGGGTCCAGTGGTGCTGCTGAGCTCCTGGGCGGGTGGCCGGTCGGGCGGGCTGGCGGGCGCGCGAGGGAGCACTCAGCGCTTCCTCTTCAGCTCCCTCGCGCGCTGCGTAGGGATGACGTCATCTTCCGGCTCCGGTATCAGTGCGCGAGGGAGCTGAAGAGAAAGCACTGAGTGCTCCCTCGCCCGCCTGCCCGCCCGACCAGCCACCCGCCCAGGAGTGTGTGTGTGACAGCAGGGCCAGCCTCGGGGGGGCCCTCGGGTGGTCGGCTCCTGGGCCCCCCAGGGGAAGAGGCTGGCCCTGTGGCTACATACCGGGTCGCAGGGGCGGCCGGTCGCAGCCGCGACCCCTGCGACCCTGGTGTGTACGCCACTGGGTTTAATGTTCTACAAGTACCGTGAGTTTCTTACATAACACATGATATAAAGTCCCTTTAATTCAGGTGAAAACCTTTTCAAGCAGCACCGATATCTTAGAACATGTTGGTAAACGATGACTGATCTGTTGTTTTTATGTCTCCTTTCTGAAGGGTATCATCGCTGCCTATAAAAACGGAGTGAGCATTCAGGAAAATGATACCAGCCTGGAGACGTGGAGCTTTGCGGGATCCTTCTTCTTCTCAGTAACCGCTATAACAACAATCGGTGCGTACGGAATTAGCTCTGACCACAGCACTGACTCCATCTGCCCATGAAAGGCCGCGGAAGGTCTGCTCTCAAATGTTTGTTGCTAGTAGACTTTCATGTCATACACCCCCTTGCTCTGTAAAACAAAAAGGAATGCTAGATCATTTAACCTCTGCTTTTATTTCTAGAGGCTCTAAATATTTACATATGTTACTGTCATTTTTGTTTAGATCCTGAATTTGTTGTCCACGGAACCTTGTAAGGACAGCACTTCATCTCATATTTACCGTTATTGGGTGGAATGGATGAATGATCAGTATATATTTACCAGTGTGGGTGGAATGGATGAACGATCAGTATATATTTACCAGTGTGGGGTGGAATGGATGAATGATCAGTATATATTTACTGGTGTGGGTAGAATAGATGAATGATCAGTATATATTTACCGGTGTGGGTGGAATGGATGAATGATCAGTATATATTTACCGTTATTGGGTGGAATGGATGAATGATCAGTATATATTTACCGGTGTGGGTGGAATGAATGAATGATCAGTATATATTTACCGGTGTGGGTGGAATGGATGAATGATCAGTATATATTTACCGGTGTGGGTGGAATGGATGAATGATCAGTATATATTTACCGGTATGGGGTGGAATGGATGAATGATCAGTATATATTTACCGGTGTGGGTGGAATGGATGAATGATCAGTATATATTTACCGTTATTGGGTGGAATGGATGAATGATCAGTATATATTTACCGGTGTGGGTGGAATGAATGAATGATCAGTATATATTTACCGGTGTGGGTGGAATGGATGAATGATCAGTATATATTTACCGGTGTGGGTGGAATGGATGAATGATCAGTATATATTTTCCGGTATGGGGTGGAATGGATGAATGATCAGTATATATTTACCGGTAAGGGGTGGAATGGATGAATGATCAGTATATATTTACCGGTGTGGGTGGAATGGATGAATGATCAGTATATATTTACCGGTGTGGGGTGGAATGGATGAATAATCAGTATATATTTACCGGTGTGGGTGGAATGGATGAATGATCAGTATATATTTACCGGTATGGGGTGGAATGGATGAATGATCAGTATATATTTACCGGTGTGGGGTGGAATGGATGAATGATCAGTATATATTTACCAGTGTGGGTGGAATGAATGAATGATCAGTATATATTTACCGGTGTGGGTGAATGAATGAATGATCAGTATATATTTACCGGTGTGGGTGGAATGGATGAATGATCAGTATATATTTACCGGTGTGGTGTGAAATGGATGAATGATCAGTATATATTTACCGGTGTGGGTGGAATGGATGAATGATCAGTATATATTTACCAGTGTGGGTGGAATGGATGAATGATCAGTATATATTTACCGGTGTGGTGTGGAATGGATGAATGATCAGTATATATTTACCGGTGTGGGTGAATGAATGAATGATCAGTATATATTTACCGGTGTGGGGTGGAATGGATGAATGATCAGTATGTATTTACCGGTGTGGGTGAATGAATGAATGATCAGTATATATTTACCGGTGTGGGTTGAATGGATGAACGATCAGTATATATTTACCGGTGTGGGTGGAATGAATGAATGATCAGTATATATTTACCGGTGTGGGTGAATGAATGAATGATCAGTATATATTTACCGGTGTGGGGTGGAATGGATGAATGATCAGTATATATTTACCGGTGTGGGTGGAATGGATGAATGATCAGTATATATTTACCGGTGTGGGTGGAATGGATGAATGATCAATATATATTTACCGGTGTGGGGTGGAATGGATGAACGATCAGTATATATTTACCGGTATGGGGTGGAATGGATGAATGATCAGTGTATATTTACCGGTATGGGTGGAATGGATGAATGATCAGTGTATATTTACCGGTGTGGGTGGAATGGATGAATGATCAGTATATATTTACCGGTATGGGGTGGAATGGATGAATGATCAGTATATATTTACCCGTGTGGGTGGAATGGATGAATGATCAGTATATATTTACCGGTGTGGGGTGGAATGGATGAACGATCAGTATATATTTACCATGCTGCTTTATGTGCTATACGCGTTCGGTGTTTTAGTGTTCTTTAATAAGTCCACCAGGGGGCAGCATTTCTCTTTATGAAATAATCTACAACTTTCATTCTTGCCACCGTGAAGCTTAGTCAGGTCCATGCAGTTGGCTAGGAGTATGATATTAAGGCAAGAGGTCATGTGATACTAGGAGTATAATAATAAGGCAAGAGGTCATGTGGTACTAGGAGTATAATAATAGGGCAAGGGGTCATGTGAAGTGGTGCCTTTTTAGGTTATATCCATTTCTTTGAACAAACAAAATAATCTTTCTACACAGCTGTGTTTTTCGTGGACTTTGAAAAACATGATTTTGTTCATTTTGTGCTGTATATTTCATGTATTTGATAAATATTACAAGATTGTTTTATAAACTGACAAGTAAACATTCTATAATGGTCAGAAAATACCATCTTTACTTATTTCGGTTTTATCCTGCTAAGTATAGTGATCCTCTTTCTTATGATTCGCTGTAGCCATTTTAATTGTGGTTTTCTACACACACATATATACACACACACACACACACACACACACACACACACACACACCTCTGTGGGCTAATGCATCAGCACTTCAATCTGTTCAACTCTTGGTTGCAGATTCAAATCCTTGCAGGGTCAACTCAGCTCTTCATCCTTCCGAGGTAGATAAAATGAGTACCATGTGATTGGGTAATAGTAACATCCCCAGGATGTACTTGGAAACCAGAGTAATCTGAATGTACCTTTCCTGGTTAAATACTTTGTTATTATTAAAGCTGCAACTCTTAAGGAGCTTATCAAGCAGCCCCTAGTGGGCACCTGTGGAACTACAGTCTGCTCACTGCACTTAAACAGTTAGTGGTTCTAGGTTATTCATATTTCAAAATAATTTTGTATTCACACATTACACTGTGTTTACGTGAATATGGCTTTTTATATTGCTGTTACATCAATCAATATAGGTAGAATTTGTGTTATTTTTAAATACTGATTTACCATTTTCCATTAAAAATAAAATGCCCCTAACCAGTGGTTACTAATTCCAGTCATCTACGTATAGGTTGCATTACAACTCCTAGTATTCTGAGCCAGCGTCACACAAACTTTGGACACCCCAGCCTTATTGATGGATTAAGGTGTTCACCCCAATTTTTTATTAATTATAATTATCATAATTGGATTTTCCGTAGTACAACACATCATTGATAGACACGCTTAGTAACAATAATACCATTTTTGGTCACTCCGATAAACCCCCTCCTACTGTCAGGTCTAAAAACTTTTAAAACGTTACCATTGTACAGAGCTACGGAATCTGATGGCGCTATATAAATAATAAAATAATAATAAAATAATAACACTTTATAAAGAATGAGAAAGTAACCACGAATGTGGGATCTGGTGCATGCATGTTGCAAAGTTTGAAAAAAAGATTCAGTCAGAAACAGAAGGCAATATGAACACAACTTTATCATTAAGACATTTAAAAATAAACAGCTAAACATTTGTTTTTGGGAAGTTCTGCCAGCATCCGACACAGATTGTGCAGTAATTCATGTGCCAAGCCAGTTACAGTATGTGTTTAGTACCATTCCTGTAGGAACATGCTGCCACCTAGTGTTTGAATTGGGCACAGATGAACAGGTGTACTTGAAAATGGCTCACTGTCCCTTTGCTGATTTTATTCAGGACTTTATTATGAAACAAATATATATATGGCACAATTCTTAGTGAAACAACAAGGAATCCATGTTTGGAAAAACTGGAAAGAGATTAAATCGATTTTATTTGTTTTAAACAAAATAATTGTTTTGTAAACATTTTATTTTCTGGAATGCCAACATATTTTAAAATTGTGTCCATTTACATAAAAAAATTTTTTATTGGGCCGGTGTTCAGTATAATGTTCTTGTAACAGCTTACGAATAAGCACAGTATATGCTCTAGTACTGGCAAACCTTGGAGTGCCAGTCTTATTTTATGAAATGGTTGTGTTTGTTGCCGTATTCTGTTTGTGTTGTTTATGGGTGCTGCTGTTACTTTGTAGCAATGCCTTTGTGTGTCTGTGGGCTGTTACATTGTATATTTTCATGAGTAGTTTGTGGTATTGTGTAATGATACCATGTATGGGGGCTACTTGTGTAATTGTGTATGTGTGTTATATGTCACATGGTGTATATATGTGTGGGGTAGCTTGTGGTATTGCATGTGAGAGGCTGTTTGTGGGGTTGGGTGCGTGTATATGGATTGTCAGTGGTGTTGTGTTTGGGGGGACTGTGAATGGGCTGTTTGTATTATATATTGGGGGGCTTAGTCTGCAGCTCAGTGTATATCTAGCTGTGTGGGTGGTTTCCCTGGGGCCCCAGTGGGGACCAGGCTGGCCAGGTACAGGTCAAGGACCGGAGCTGCAATAACTGCTGCGGGCTGCTCTACTCCAGATTCCCATTCACAAGTGCTGAGAGGAAGTGATCTGAGATCACTTCTGGTAAGTGCTGCAATGCATATAGTGAGGATTGTCTATCACCACCTGCTCGGTTTGCACGAGCAGAGGTCTGAAATCCCACAGGGACTGCTGATAGGCCTGAGCCTGTTTGGATCTGGCAGGCTTGAGTGCGATGCAAAGACACCTCGAGTACCGTGCATGGCACACATGTCATAGGTTGCTGACCCCCCACTCTAGTTCAATTGAAATACTCAAATACCATCTTATCAGTCATTTTAAAAGGACAAGCTAGCCAATAGGAAAAAAAATTTTTTAATACAGATAATGTGCTAAAAATGTGCAAAGTAATGTAAAAAAAATGTATGCCGACCTATGAAGATACCGTGTTTCATTTGCAAGGGCAAATCTAAAATTTAGATTCTGGTGACATCTGGCAATGTGGAAAAAGTGTTGTGACAGTATGTATATCACTGTATTAAGAATTCCAGGATAATGTGACCAGTAGCACTCTGCGTGTGGACATCCCTGGTTCAATGCAATGTTGGGTGAGCCTGGTACCTATGTGACCAGTAGCACTCTGCGTGTGGACATCCCTGGTTCGATGCAATGTTGGGTGAGCCTGGTACCTATGTGACCAGTAGCACTCTGCGTGTGGACATCCCTGGTTCGATGCAATGTTGGGTGAGCCTGGTACCTATGTGACCAGTAGCACTCTGCGTGTGGACATCCCTGGTTCGATGCAATGTTGGGTGAGCCTGGTACCTATGTGACCAGTAGCACTCTGCGTGTGGACATCCCTGGTTCGATGCAATGTTGGGTGAGCCTGGTACCTATGTGACCAGTAGCACTCTGCGTGTGGACATCCCTGGTTCGATGCAATGCTGGGTGAGCCTGGTACCTATGTGACCAGTAGCACTCTGCGTGTGGACATCCCTGGTTCGATGCAATGCTGGGTGAGCCTGTTACCTATGTGACCAGTAGCACTCTGCGTGTGGACATCCCTGGTTCGATGCAATGCTGGGTGAGCCTGGTACCTATGTGATCAGTAGCACTCTGCGTGTGGACATCCCTAGTTCGATGCAATGCTGGGTGAGCCTGGTACCTATGTGATCAGTAGCACTCTGCGTGTGGACATCTCTGGTTCGATGCAATGCTGGGTGAGCCTGGTACCTATGTGATCAGTAGCACTCTGCGTGTGGACATCCCTGGTTCGATGCAATGCTGGGTGAGCCTGGTACCTATGTGACCAGTAGCACTCTGCGTGTGGACATCCCTGGTTCGATGCAATGCTGGGTGAACCTGGTACCTATGTGATCAGTAGCACTCTGCGTGTGGACATCTCTGGTTCGATGCAATGCTGGGTGAGCCTGGTACCTATGTGACCAGTAGCACTCTGCGTGTGGACATCCCTGGTTCGATGCAATGCTGGGTGAGCCTGATACCTATGTGATCAGTAGCACTCCGCGTGTGGACATCCCTGGTTTGATGCAATGCTGGGTGAGCCTGGTACCTATGTGACCATTAGCACTCTGCGTGTGGACATCCCTGGTTCGATGCAATGCTGGGTGAGCCTGGTACCTATGTGATCAGTAGCACTCTGCGTGTGGACATCCCTGGTTCGATGCAATGCTGGGTGAGCCTGGTACCTATGTGACCAGTAGCACTCTGCGTGTGGACATCCCTGGTTCGATGCAATGCTGGGTGAGCCTGGTACCTATGTGACCAGTAGCACTCTGCGTGTGGACATCCCTGGTTCGATGCAATGCTGGGTGAGCCTGGCACCTATGTATGACAGAATGAGCATGCTTTGATGAGAATTGCGTCAATAGCATGAACCCCACTCTATTCCTAGAATCATCCTTTGCCCTCCTGATAGTCTCTTGTTTTCAAAAGTTGATGATAGTATGCTGTACCTGATGTATGTAATTTCCCTTTGAGCTCTTTACAACCACTAAGTAGAGAAGGATGTGGCTTCCAAAATTTGTCTTGGAGGACATGAGAATATGATGGCTGGTGATGGAAGCTACTTGCTCTGGCTGGTGGTTTCCATTCATTGCAATGTGACATGGACATAGAAAGTTCACATGAAAATCTATATAAATATTATTCCATGAAACGCGTTATCTGCCTGTATGTCCTTTGTTTTCCCATTTCACGCTGTGATGTGTAAGAGCTAAACTTGTTGTATAGCTTCACTAATTCCTTCATTATGTTAATGTTTGGACAGTAACATGTAAACCTATGTTTCAATGTTACTGTAAAAGTACTCTTCTGTTTTCTTTATAAAGGTTACGGGAATATTAGTCCAGCGACTGTGGGCGGTCGGATCTTCTGCATTTTCTTCGCTCTGTTTGGGATTCCACTGAACTTGATTCTTCTGAATCGAATTGGGCAGAGAATGCTCTCCGCAGTGCACAAATGTGCAAATCTACTAGAGGAAAAAATTCATCAGCAGGTATTGACTTGACAAAATGTTTAATTTACTGCGCTGGTGTCTTGTAATCATTTTATTAACTGGAGTAGTGGATAACTGGATTAATATATAATCGCCATTAATATTGATATCTATTAAAAAGTGTGTGATTATATAATAAAACTTGTGTTTCTTTTGTTTTGTTTATGATATAAAAGACAGCAAAGATCTTGGCGTATTTCTTTGCGCTTGTGATGGGTCTCCTGCTGTTCTTCCTGCTTCCACCGATACTCTTTAAAGGCATCGAAGGATGGACGTACGAGGAAGGATTTTACTATGCCTTCATCACCCTCAGCACAATAGGCTTTGGAGACTACGTAATCGGTGGGTATCCTGAATGTACAGGAAAATGCTTCGAGGAAGGGGAGAAATACAGTGTAACGTTTTCAATACTGAGTAAAAAGAGGTTAGATTGACATTCTTAGCACTTTTACAGTTTTGTGTATAAGCAGTTGGTCAGGAATACCAGAAAATATGAGAATTAAAATGTGAAATTTACATTTGATATAATGATTTTATGATTTAGACAGTATATAATGTTATATGGTGTTTGTATCTTCAATGTTTCAGACAGGTTATACATTATAAGTATAGAACAGAAATACCATTTATATCCAATGTTGAATGTGGGACAAAATCTAAATGAAATAGGGATATATATGTATCATATTCACACATATCTAAATCACACTTGGCACCTTGTTGGCCAGGACAGCGAAGGAGGGTTGTGAACAAGGACTTGCAGGAGGTGGCACAATTAGCTTTTACTGGCTCCATATGTAAAGGGGGATGCCATTCAGATAGATATGGGTCCTGTGTGCCAGGCTGTCTGGTGAGGTGACCGAAACTAAGGCTGCCCATACCTACTGAAATGCTTAGTCCTCTAATTCTCCTCTACTGCATAGCGAGCACAAGTAGATGTGTGATAGTGCTAAATCCTGCTCCTGCAGTCTAACTGCTCAAATCTCTGCTATTTAGGAGTTTAATCACTTTTGTTGCTGGTTATGCTGCCCAAACCACACCTCCCCTGGCTGTGACTCACGCAGCCAATGTGAAAATAATTGTTTAATTTACTTTAGAAGTTCTTATCTCCTTCTCTGTTAATTGACCTTTAATCACACACCTGCAGGCTATTAACAGATTAGGGTCCAAGAAATTCTAAATTAAACAAACTGTCCAATAAAGGAAGTTTGAACACTAGATCTCTCTTTACAGAAATAGTGTAGAGTGTAGGTCACAGCAGGGGTGTGTGACTAGGGCTGCATAAACAAAGTGATTTAACTCCTAAATGGCAGAGAATTGAACAGTGAGACGGCAGGGGCATGATCTATACACCAAAACTGCTTCACTAAGCTAAAGTTGTTTTGGGGACTACAGTGTCCTTATAAATTATCATAGTTACATAGCTGAAAAGAGACTTGCATCCATCAAGTTCAGCCTACCTCACATTTGTTTTTTTGCTGTTGATCCAAAAGAAGGCAAAAAAACCCAGTTTGAAGCACAATTTTGCAACAAGCTAGGAAAAAAATTCCTTCTTGACCCCAGAATGGCAGTCAGATTTATCCTTGGATCAAGCAGTTATTACCCTACATTGAAAGATTATATCCTTGAATATTCTGTTCTTGCAAGTATGCATCTAGTAGCCATTTGAACATCTGTATGGACTCTGATAAAACCACTTCTTCAGGCAGAGAATTCCACATCCTGATTGTTCTTACAGTAAAAAAACCTTTCCTTTGCCTTAGACGAAATCTTCTTTCTTCCAGTCTAAACGCATGGCCTCGTGTCCTATGTAAAGTCCGGTTTGTGAATAGATTTCCACACAATGGTTTGTATTGGCCCCGAATATATTTGTATCATGTTATCATATCCCCTCTCAGGCGACGTTTTTCTAAACTAAATAGGTTTAAATTTGTTAACCTTTCTTCATAGCCGATATGTTCCATTCCTTTTATTAGTTTTGTAGCCCGCCTCTGCACTTTTTCTTGTGCCATAATATCCTTCTTTAGAACAGGTGCCCAAAATTGCACAGCATATTCAATATGGGGTCTTACCAGTGATTTATAAAGAGGCAAAATTATATTCTTGTCCCAAGAATGAATGCCCTTTTTCATGCATGACAATACCTTACTGGCCTTGGCCACTGCTGATTGACATTGCACATTGTTGCATAGTTTGTTGTCTATAACAATTCCCAAGTCCTTTTCATGTGTTGTTATCCCTAATTCGCTTCCATTAAGGGTATACGTTGCTTGTGTATTCTTTACGCCGAAGTGCATAACTTTGCATTTTTCAACATTAAATTTCATCTGCCATTTGAGTGCCCAGTCCATCTAAATCCCTCTGCAGCAAAGTAATATCTTGCTCACATTGTATTATTTTACAAAGTTTTGTGTCATCTGCAAACACTGAAACATGACTTTCAATGCGGTCTTCAAGATCATTTATAAACATGTTAAATAGAAGAGGTCCCAGAACAGACCCCTGAGGGACACCACTTGCTACCTCTGTCCAGCTTGAAAATTTAATGACAAATCTTTGTACTCTGTTTTTAAGCCAATGTTCTACCCAAGAACAAACATTTTCATCTAGACCGATTTCCTTGAGTTTGAACACTAATCTATTGTGTGGAACTGTATCAAATGCCTTGGCAAAATCCAAATAGATCACATCCACTGGAACACCCTGATCTATACTTCTACTTACTTCTTCGTAGAACGCAATCAAGTTAGTTTGACATGACCTGTGCTTCATAAAACCATGCTGATTTTTGCTGATAACCATGTTGTTCTCAAGGAATTCTTGAATATTATCCCTTAATAACCTTTCAAATATTTTCCCAGCCACAGAAGTTAAGCTCACAGGTCTATAATTTCCAGGCAAAGATTTTGAACCCTTTTTGAATATAGGAACCACATCTGCCTTCCTCCAATCCTGCGGAACACTTCCTGAAAGAAAAGAATCTTGAAAGATTAAAAACAGAGGTTCACTTATTTCTGCACTTAGTTCCTTAAGTACAAGTGGATGGATACCATCAGGCCCTGGAGCTTTGTTTATATTAACTTTCTTTAGTTGCTACAGCACCTTGTCTTGAGTTAACCAATTACAATTATTCTGCAAGTTTTTAGTAGCAATCATTTGCACAGTAGAACTAGTAGTCAGCATTAGAAGATGAATGTCAGTTCTGCTCCTGATGCTGTGTGTCGTCCAGTCATTGGGATCTGTATGGGGATATTCGTGAATTACCTTGCTTGTTAGAATTATTACTTCATGGGATTTTTCATCACTTGTTCCTGAGCCTCACTGGGATCTTAGTGGAGTTAACCTGTGAAATACCAGGCATCCGCTACAGAAGACATTATCTCTATTCAGATCCACTTGTAGTGTACTTGAAACATTCGTGTAATAGGTTGATTGTGTTAGTTACTGATGTCCTGTTTATGGTAACATGTCACATGTCTGTATTTTCCTTTAGGGCGGGTTCCAGATAAACAATATCCTGGCTGGTACAGGAATGTGGTGTCCGTATGGATTCTCCTTGGCATGGCGTGGCTGGCGTTAGTTATAAACCTCTGTATAAGCTTACTGGAGAGTTACAGTGAGGTGATCCACTGCTGCAGAAAGAAGGAGAATAAAGTGATGGACTCAGAGCTCATGGACATTGTCCACGGAGGAAGTATGCCGACTGCACCAAAAGAGAAAGCGGATATAAAGGACACATTGGCTGCACTAAAAGAAAAAGAGGACATGAAGGACGCACTGCCTATGCTAAAGGAAAAAGAAGAAGTAAGGGACACAGCTGCGATAAAGGAGAAAGAGTACATGCTTAGTGTTATTGATACAAAACTAGAGTCTCCAGACTGAGAGGCTTGCACGGACGGTTGTACAATCATAATTTAGAAAAAAAAAAACTTAATGGAAAAGGATCAAGGATTTTTATTAGACAAACATTGGATATGTGAATGGGGCCAGGAAATTCCACTCATCTGAACAAAAGCCAAGCAGCATATGATCGAAGCCAGGATCCAGAGCTTCAGAAACGCTATCGACGTAGTCCAGCGCTCTTAAGAAACTATATTTTATCCATGTTAATCATCTTTCATACAGATCAAAAAAACACACCGGTGATAAGAATATCAGTTAGTTTGACATAACTTATGTAATTATTGCCAAATGAAGGCACCAAACAAGTTCATTAGCAGAAGGACCTCTTCTTCTGGCAGATCTTGTGTTGAATTCCACCAAGAAAGAGATAAGTATGGTTCCAGTTTCTCCTGATCATCTGATTGTTATCATCCAGAAGATGAAGAATGATAAGCAGCACAAAGGATTATCTACAGTAAACACAATTGTTATTTCACTGTAAGATAACACTCGCTTGTGGCTTGGTAATGACACAAGTGGAGTGTTTGCCCGGGATTCAGAGAGTGACTTAATATTATATATTGTTTACACATTTTTTATATTTTCTACTACTTGAAATATATTGACTTTATGCAGCAAGTCAGCCAATGTCGTATTTCTCTTTTCTATGATTTTTGTATAAGCTGTAATTGTTTGAAATAACACAGGCTGTTTCCATTGATGCTTTGACAAAGGGAATTTCCAGTTATTGTGTCATCAGAACTGAGAATGTCCATTATAAAATGATGGCAAAAGGTGAGTTATAACACCATACAGTGCTCAAACTAGAAACATGGCAATGGCAACTCGGCACCAAATGCAATGCAAAGTATTATAACAATAAACAATCCAGGGTGTAATATTTAAATAATGTCCTCAGGGGGATTCTCAGCATGTGCTCTGACTCAACAATTATCACCGGAAACACAAGGAATGGGATATGATAGTGTGTCAGCAGGGGATGCAGATGCATGGACCACTAGGGAATGTATGCCAGCCAGCAGCAGCACACCCTGGTCCACCAGACTAGGCAGTAAACGCTCTGTACAAATAATGGAGGCAGGGTTGCAGGCGGGTTACAGGGATAGACAGTAAAAGCATGCAATCCAAGACCACAGGAGAGAAACTCTGTCATTAAATGTATTGTTAATGCATCTGTGCATATGTGTCAGTGTCTGTGTACCTCAGTGTATGTATATGGGCATGTCTGTCACTGTTTGTGTGTCAGTGTATGTATCTGTACATGTGTGTCAGTTTTTGTGTTTGTCAGTGTATGTATAGGTGCTTTTTGTGTTAGTGTTTGTTTGTATCTGAGCATGTGTGTGAGTGTTTATGCGCATCAGTGTATGTATCTGTGCATATGTGTCAGTGTATGCATCTGTACATGTGTGTCAGTTTTTGTGTATCTAAGTGTATGTATGGTTACATATGTGTCAGTGTTTTGTGTGTCTCGGTGTTTGTATCTGTGCTGGTGTGTCAGTGCCGGTCATTTTATGCATATGTGCACGTTTGTCAGTGTTATGTGTGTGGCAGTGTATGTATCTGTGCTTGTGTGTCAGTGTATGTATCTGTATAGGTGTGTCAGTGTTTTGTGTGTGTCAGTGTATGCATCTGTATATGTGTGTCAGTGTTTGTGTGTCAGTGTATGTCCGTTAATGCATCTATTCATATGTGTCAGTGTCTGTATGTATCAATGTATGTATCTGTGCATGTGTGTCACTGTTTGTGTGTCAGTGTATGGATCTGTGCATATGTGACAGTGTCTGTGTGTGTCATTGTATGTATCTGTACATGTATGTTAGTGTATATATCTGTGCATGTGTGTCAGTGTTTATATGTGTCAGTGTATGTATCTATGCAGGTGTGTCAGTGTATGCATCTGTACATATGTGTCAGTGTTTATGTATCTCAGTGTATGTATGGTTGCATATGTGTCAGTGTTTTGTGACTTAGTGTACATATATGTGCTTGTGAGTCAGTGAATGTATCTGTACATGTGTGTCAGTGTTTTGTGTGTGTCAATGTATGTATCTGGCCTTGTGTGTCAGCATATGTGTCTGTGTGTGTGTGTGTTAGTGTTCTGTGTGTGCTCAGTGTATTTGACGGTATATGTATGTTAGTGTTTTGTGTTTGTCAGTGTATGTCTCTGTGCATGTTTGTCAGTGTTTTGTGTGTGTCAGTGTATGTCTCTGTGCATGTTAGTGTTTTGTGTGTGTCAGTGTATGTATCTGCGCATGTATGTCAGTATGTGTCAATGCAACTGTGTATGTGTATCAATCTGTATGTGTATCTCTCAGAGTGAATCTGTGTGTATCTTTGTGTGGCAGTGTATTTGTGTTTCTGTGTATGGCAATGTGCCCCTGTATGTGTGTGTGTGGCGGTTCATGGGTGGTGCATAAGAATATGCAACCAATGTGAGAATCTCAGGGTATGAGTGCATCAGAATAATGAGCTGTTCAGACAGAGGGAGGTGCTGAATCCATAGAATTAATATTAAATATTTATATTAATATTATTTTTATTCATAATTTCTACATATGCTTCCAGTGGTTAAAATAAAAATAACGGTTAAAAAACAGGTTTAGCTTATTGGAACAAGAAGCAAAAGGTAATTGTTATTCAAAAATTAAAGGTGCAAAATATCAAAAGGTAAATATAGCTGACTAAGTGTATAAAGTTATTTATATAATTCTACAAAATCTCGAAGTCAGGGATTTGGAGGACAAATAGATGTTGGCAGACAGTTGACTTACCAGTTGTAAGACATTAGATACATGGTAACTGATGGAAGTAAGGGGTGGTCAACTGAAATAATTGGTGAAGAGAAAGCTGTAATATAACTACCTATAAGACGCAGAGATTTACTAGATGGACAACAGCTAAAAAATTGTACTCAACTGAAATAATGATGGTTGATTTTCAACTCAAATTTAGGTTATAGCATGTGAAAACCAGGCAACCAGTTTCATAGCTTTGTTCTGCTGGAGTTGTGAAAATAAAAATAATTCAAATTCTGTGAACTAGTGAAAATAGTGGAATAGTGAAAATAGTGAACTAGCGAAATCACTGTTTCAGAATAACTTTGCTGATTTAAAGCAGATAGCTGAAAATGTTTTTTTTTAATGTAAAATTCAGTGTAACAATAGTGAAGTCTTCTTGTCAGAAGAAGTTTTATCCAATTTGAAGTGGATTTTAATATTGGCAGACTCAATAGGTACTTATTTTATTTCTTCCAGAAAGTTAAAAGACTGAGATGTCTCACTGTTTCACCTTACTACACACTCCTTAACCTGGAATTGTCTTTAAGGTCACACTTAGCTAGGATTTTTCCACTGACATCTGGACAGGGGAACTATTAACAGTTATTATATCGCGAGTTTTCAGTTTTTTTTTTTAGTTTGTGTAACGGAGCTCCCTATACCCCTGTAGTGATGTCGCGAACCCGAAATTTTCGGTTCGCGAACGGCGAACGCGAACTTCCGCAAATGTTCGCGAACCGGCGAACCGCCCGAAACGCCATTGACTTCAATGGGGAGGCGAATTTTAAAACACACAGGGACTCTTTCTGGCCACAATAGGGATGGAAAAGTTGTTTCAAGGGGACTAACACCTGGACTGTGGCATGCCGGAGAGCTCTGCAATGACCGCATTCTGGTGGTATGATATGAGTGGCACTGTAAACTGGCACAGTACACGCTGTAGGGCTGACACACCCGCTTTAAGGACACTGACTGCTATTCAATCTATAACAGTGAAAAAAGTGTTTTTTGTTTTTAAATACAAGCTTTGTGTCACCAGATCTAAGTGGTGGCACTGGTCACCGTATCCACTGTTAGCGTAACACACCAGCTTTAAGGACACTGACTGCTATTCAATCTATAACAGTAAAAAAAGTTTTTTGTTTTTAAATCCAAGCTATTGTGACACCAGATGTAATTGGTGGCACTGACTGGGGAAATGGGCACAGTATGCACTGTGAGCCTGACACAGAAACTGGCAGCAGTGGCAGACAACTGACTGCTATTCAATCTATAACAGTGAAAAAAGTTTTTTGTTTTTAAATCCAAGCTTTGTGTCACCAGATCTAAGTGGTGGCAATGGGCACAGTATGCACTGTGAGCCTGACACAGAAGCTGGCAGCAGTGGCGGACAACTGACTGCTATTCAATCTATAACAGTGAAAAAAGTTTTTTGTTTTTAAATCCAAGCTATTGTGACACCAGATGTAAGTGGTGGTGGCACTGACTGGGGAAATGGGCACAGTATGCACTGTGAGCCTGACACAGAAGCTGGCAGCAGTGGCAGACAACTAAGTGCAATTACATTACATAGAAAAAATAAATAAAAAAAAGCATACCCTTATCCCTAACCTAGCTATGCTTTTCCCTATCTTATGAACAGCAGCTACACTTTCCCTCCTCTTACTAAGCATGCAGCTTGAGAATGAATCTAAAATGGATGCCTTCCAGGAGGTGGGAGGGTCTGCTAGGGAGGTGTGCTGCTAATTGGCTGGAATGTGTCTGCTGACTGTGAGGTACAGGGTCAAAGTTTACTCAATGATGACGAATAGGGGGCGGGTCGAACCGCGCATATGTTCGCCCGCCGTGGCGAACGCGAACATGCTATGTTCGCCAGGAACCGTTCGCCAGCGAACCGTTCGGTACATCACTATACCCCTGGCTGGGGACTGCTTCCTAGCTGGAACAGAGAACAAAGAGCAACAGTTCTGCCCACCGCCACTGTGGCTTAACTCGGGCCCTGGAACCGATCCTTTATGGAACCGAATGGGGAATTAGCTCTAGTCCTTACAAGGAATCCCCTGCAAGCTGGAACAGCAGACACAGAAGTAAATCTTCTTTCCCTCCAATAACAGGACGGCACACAGTTTTGGAGTGTAAACTGGAATACCTTTTAGTGGAGGCACACTGGCCTTTTATGCAAGTTTCCCAACAATGGCGACACCCAGGTGGACCTTATTGGGCACAGGGACACAAAGTGAATAAACCAATAAAAACAGAGTCATACAGTGAGACACTCCCATACACAAACAATAGAATCCCTCCTCTGGACTTGGGAGATAATTGAATCAGGAACTCTACTAATCTAAATTCAAATATCCAAATATCTCCAAGCACAGAAAAAAAACCAAAAAAAAAAAAAAAAACAGTTATGAAACCCCAAAAAGTAGCTTAAAACCACACAAAACCCCATAAAAGTCCCCTGAAAGCCTCGATCTGGGTGAACAACATATCCAAAAATCACCCAGATCAGAGCAGGGGTTCAGGAAGTTCCTGGAAGTCATAGTTTTGACCGAAAACAGCCCATGCTATTGAGTGGCAAAGGATTATGGGAGATATAGATTACAAATGCCTGGAGGGCCATTATTTCAATACTTTTTCCTCTATGGGGTTTGTACGACGAGATGAAGAGTTAAGTGATAATTCACATTATTTTTCAGACCCCACAAAATAGTATGAGATATGTAACTTAATTCTTCATCTGTATGTTCCTAGAATTTAAAACGGGAATAAACGTTTGACACATGTTGCCATTAAGCCATTTTCCCCAAAAAATTGGGATATAAAACCAGAATTTTACTTAAATAATCCATCTTTGTAAAATTATGGAATGTAATAACATTGTGTTAGCTATTGAGGAGGAGACGTTTATTTATGTTTAAGTAGAAGCTGTCTCTCAACTCACATGTTATAATAATTTCCATAGTGGAAAAATACAGGTCTTTTTCCAGCCATGTATCTCTGAGCACAATACACTCCCGTTGTAAAATAGGACATCACTAGTTTGATTCATTATTCTACTAATAAAAAATGGACGACTTCCTACTTCTTGGTATAGTATACTACTCCCTTTATTCCTCACAATAGGCTGTTTCAATAGTTGCACATAGTGTAGCTCGAAGGCATGAATCTTTAGAGGAAGCAGACTAGTAAACAGATTGGTGACTCACAGGGAGTCACGAACATTCCACATCCATGTCTCACACCATGTGTGATTGGCCAACATCGGATGAAGCTTAAAGGGTCCCTATGTGCCTACAGGAGTTTGGTTCTTCTGTCCTTAGCCCCCATTGTCTTAAAACTGCATCTGCGCAACACCTGTCTCTGATTATCTATCTAGCTCTAATTATCTTTCAGGCTAGGTATCTACCTATCTATTCTAACGCACCTGTGCTAAAGCAAGTTTTCAACACACTTTCAGTGATGGCTAACTGCCCCATTAAATTAAAAACAGACAGCTGACCCTCTTAGCCAATGAAGGGCTAGCAGGATTGTCTTTCAGCTTCTGCAGCTCTGCAGAAGCCAGCTGTCATCAATGACCACAGAAGGACAGTCAGCGCAAAGCAGGGACCCATATAAGTAGGAGAACCATTGCCAAACAGTTTGCCCCATTACCAGGAAATGGAGTCAGGGTACTATTGGCATCATAGTCATTACAGTAAGCGATAATAGCTATAATATAGTAACCCTTTAAGATATCACTTGAGTCTCTAGATTAATGAGACTGATGGTTTGGAAAAAGACAACCCATGTGGTTTGTTACATTCTTTAATTTCTCGGAAGTTACCAAAATGTCATGTTTGAGGAGAGATTGATTTATGTTGACCTCAAAGATGTTGGGTTCATCTGTTCATTTAAAAACTTTAAAAAACTACAGAAAATGTGTTGTTTTTTTTCCTGTATAAACCTAGTGGGATAGGAGTTTACATCATGTGATCTTCCCATTTATTTTGTAAAATAATTTTGTGGTCCCTGAAAAAGCTGCCATCATAGTTTATTTTTTGAGTTGTTCACATTGTAGCTGGACCTTGTGAACTTTATTTCCAGTGAATAAAGAGGAAAATCCATTTGTGGTGGTTGACTTTTGGTCTGTGTCAATATGTGTTCAGTGACACACAGGTCTAATATCTCATTTTGTGGTTTGAACTTTCTGAAGTTGTGTGTGACTTTAGTAGACATTTATTTAAACAAAATGTCCATCCAAACCTGCTGCATAAAACACAAAGAGCTAGTTTATTTCTCAGATCTGATAATATGATAATTTAAGTAATATAAAATTAAGCACAAAATCCTAAAAGGAAATTTGTACAAACTACTTTTCTGGAGATAAGCGCTAAAAGTAGAGTAAATTGCTGGAAGAATCTAGTGGTTTCCATGGTGATTCCTCTTTCAGGATATTGTCATAATCTTGCGTGTTGTAAATTTCCCCATACATGTAAAGACGAGCTACCAAACTGCAAAGTAACGAGGTAATATGGAATACCAAGGACAAATTTACAATCCAGATGACGAGGGAGCACAGGCATGGATTATTAGAGAGGCCAGAGTTAGTTCTGGGGTTGTTTCTTACACTCCTGGGGCTTCAGCCCAAAACTAAACTCATTGACCCCTGCCTTACATCTCCATCCTGGACACCATATCTGTGCCTCTCTATGCACACCTTGACAACTACGCAAGAAAACAATGTCGAAACATAAACATGCTCCGACAGCAGGTATTCAATGCAGTCCTACCTACCCACACTATGTAAGCAATGATGGTCTCCTGGGGGTGGCAGATTGGGGGGTATTCTATATTCCTTAGCAGCCTGAAGAAGAACTATAGTAGTTATGACTCAGCTACCTGATATAAAAGAAAACACTACTATCCTGCTGCCCCTTTCACCACCTTCAGCTCCCAAAGCTGACCCTAACAACACTGTGTGTGTGAAGAACAGTGAAAGGAGGGATAGAGAGAGCTGGGCTATGAAGCCAAAGGAACTGAGGAGGGCAACTGTAATGATAGAAGCATCACCCAGGATGATGTGTTTTCAGTGACATCTTCAAATACTGGTGGGTAGGGGAGAGTCTGATGGCACGGGGCAGGGAATTCCATAGGAACGGGGCAGCTCTTGTAAAATACTGTAGATGAGAGTTGTAAATATTCGTTTTATGAATTAGATCCTAAAGAGTACAGGAAGTTAATGTAATGAGTGGCAAAGCGAGGAAGTGTGGGAGTAGCAATCAGATGAGCTTATTGGCAGCATTCAATGCCGGTATGATTAGAGCATGAACAAGTGTCTTCGTTGTGAAAATGTACTGAATTTGGAAGCCAGCTAGATGGGGGGAGAAAAGGTAAGACCTGAGTCAAAAGTTACTCCAAGGCAGCGAGCTTGTGGGGTTGGGGTAATAAAAGAATGTGACAAAGACATTGCCAGTAGAGGAATAGCAGGACGAAAAGGAAGAGAATTTAAAAACAGCCTGAAATACACGTAGAGAATATGGAGAGAATGTGAGGGGAGGCACAGGAGATAGCAATCAGTGGTGGGATTCAGCCGGTTCGCAGAGGTTCGTGCAAACCTGTTACTAACATTTAACAAGTTCGCTGAACCGGCGGCGAAACCAGCCCCCACCTAGAGCACAAAAAACAGTTGTCAGTTTGACAAATTATTTTTGCTCTTCCCTCTGCCTGCATGCAGTATGGCATACTAAGCCAAGTGGGGAGCGCCTCCCCTTGCGCTCAGCGTAGGAGCCTGACACATGGATGGCATGGGACATGGGGGGGGGGACACGTGGATGAAAGGGGACATGGAATGGGGAGACACATGGGGGAGACACATAATGGGCAGGGCACATGGAGGGGAGAGACATGAATGGAAGGGGCAGGGGGACATGAGGACAGGGGGAGAGCCATGAGATGGAGAAAGATGGGGACATGAGGGTAGGGGGAGAGCCATGAATGGATGTGGAGGGGTCGACACATGGATAGCAGGGGTAGAGGGACATGGAAAGGAGGGGGGCATGCGGAGTGGGTGAGGGGAACAGAGACACAGAAGGAAGGGGGGAGAGAGAGATGGAAAGAAGGAGGAAGAGACATGGATGGAAGGTGGGATATTGTCACGGTAGCGGTCCGGTGTCCGGGACCCAGACCTCGTCCTGGCGGCGGTGCATGGACCGGGACCCCTGAGTGCCTGATGTTCAGAGTAGGAGTCACAGTGTGGATGTGGATTAGCAGGGTCTGGTGCTGGGTAACCGCATGCCCCCTGGTGTTGAGCACCAGCGTTTGTGCAGCCACGTACCAGAACCCTGATTAAGCTTATGCGGATCCCAGAAACTAGGAGCAGGTAATTAAGCAGACCTCCCAAGAGCTGAATAGGGAGACTCTGCAGCAGGGATGTATCCAGTACTGAAGCAAGGCAAAACTAGAGATAAGCACCATACATGAAAACAAGACAAAAACTAGGAGAACCCAGAACCAGAGCAGGACAGAAAGCAGAACCTAGAACATGTACACAAGACATGAGGAAAACAAGAACATAACATGGGCATGACTGAACAGGACTGTACGTGGACTGGGAATACAAGACAAAGTAAAACAAGACAAGAGATACAAGGTAAAACAAGAGGAAACATAGCTAAGCACTAATTATGAAAAGTATGGGGATTTAGTTACATTATATGATCATACATTGCAAAAGCCTGCCACAACGCCAATGTACCCCATATCTGGCAGGTCCTACACTGCCTAATGTTCGCTAAAACAACCACACTAAACCACAATAGCACTTACCTGCAAGAAAGGACAAAGGCTTGAAACACTGCTGCAGGTCCAGACTGAAACAAAAGGAAAGTAGAAAACAAACGGGTGTGGCAACATAAAACAAACATTTAAATGAATCCAAGAGACTGGGAAATCCAGGGGCGGTATATAAGAATGAACTCAGAAACCCAGCAACAACAAAAACCAGACATAGACCAGAAAAACCAAACAAGGACAGCAAAAAGAGTACTGGATACCAGAAGCCATTGCCAGAATGTTCCGCAGCGAGGAACAGGATGTGACAGATATCACCCTAGCATGCATACACTATCACCATCCCACTCAAACTGACACCCACCCACACACTGACACCCTCACTAGAGGCAGAGAGAAGGCACAGAGAGGCTAAGGGCAGAGACATGGCGCAGGGAGGCTGGTGGCAGTGAGGTACCACTGGCAGGGTGTTTGAGGGCACATGGCACTAGCAGGCGTTTTGGAGGCACATGTGGCATGATATACAAATTTTAGGAATTTACCGGCATAATATTTTGGATTTATGCATTTACTGCTCATTGGCATGATATGTCACGTTTACGCATTTACTGCTTGTTGGCATGATATATGCAATTTATGTATGTATTGCTCATTGGCATGAAATACCAAGTTTATGTATTAACTGCTTTATTGGCATGATGTACCAAGTTTACGCATTAAATGTTCATTCACATGATAAATCCTATATCTATCTATATATATATTGCTAAAAAGGGTATATATGAGTGACTGCGTGTATGTGCATGCATGACTGTGAAAGTCTTCTATCCAGGCAGCACAATGTCTTGGCTGGCCCTGTGGAGTTGGAAACATGAAAAGTCGGAACTGGTTACTAAAATGTTTGAATCCCACTAATGGTAGCAATATACTTAGAATGTTTCACTCCAGCTATTATAAAAGCACAGCTCTAATTATCTCATTGCATCACTGAGTTGTCCGGGTTGTACAGTGCAGAGAGTCCAGAGGTCTTGGCCCTGATACTAGGATGGTCAATTAGAGACTAACTGAATCCTTTTTTTTTATTTTTATAATCTTTATTTTGAGGGTTTCCCCCCTTTTTTTTTTTTTTTCCACAATACAATACAATACAACAATTACAAACAAATGATAGAGAAACAATTCCTATATAAGATGTTCATCCATAAGATGTTTCTTTATACATTTCAGTTAACTAAAAACGAACAATACTTTAGACTTACACATCTACATAAACAGGACAAGACAGTGCAGCAAGAGAGAAGGGAAGAAACTCATCGAGAAAGTATATATATTTATCTCATAATATATATTATATTATATTATCCAAAGCATTAACAGTCAACCTCATTATTCACCTTGAATTTATATATATAAATAAAGGCCCCTCTATTTATCAATCTTCTCCCAACATTTCAACCACATTGTTGTTTTCCTACTTAATTTTTGTTTGCTCAATAACACTTCCATTTTTACTTGAAACTTAAGCTGGGCTTTGACTTGATCCCAGGGAACTTCACTATCGTCTTTCCATCTTCTTGCAATCACAATTTTTGTTGCTAAGAAAAGATGGATAAGAATAATTTTCAAATCTTTTGTCATTACCGGCCAGTTTAGATGAAGCAAAACAGTCTCCGGAGAGAGCCTCAGCTCAAGGTTCAAGTCTATGGATACAAACTTTTGTATGTTAAACCACAAATTGTTCAGTTTACTACACTCCCACCAAATATGCTTAAAAGTACCTGTATTTGTACCACATCTCCAACATAGATGGTTTGCTGAAGAATACATTTTGTTCAGTTTGTCTGGTACTAGGTACCATCTATTTAGAACTTTAAAATGAGTTTCTAATAGATTTAACGAGTGTGTATACTTCGAAGCTTCTGTCAATGAGAAACCCCAATGCCTAATATTTATATCCATATTTAATTCTTCTTTCCAAGCGGTTATGGCTGTTGGAGTTTTTGATTTATTACACATTTTGCTTAATACCAAAGCTTTTGAAAGTGGTTTATTTATCTTATCTGTATTAAAGAGTATATTTAACCCATTATTCAAATTAATGTTTGATACAATTAAATGTGTTAAATGAGACTAACTGAATCCTATTACACGTCTTTTCAAATTTCAATCAGCAGTCTATTTTTAACCTAAAATACGGAGTCAGTTGACTCAATCAGTTGATTTAACCTGACATCACTTGTGAGCATGGCTAGAAATACCAATATATGATTCACCTCTGTGTGCGCACTTCCCACCTCGCGCCAGTTTTCTCATTGCCTGCTCCACCAATAGGAGACCGGCAATGCAGACAAGCCTCCCTGGGAGTCACTCGGACAGCAAACACAGCTGACTGATAACAGGATGTCACTGTGACTGAGGGGGCTTGGGCCACATTCCAGACAAATGTAATCAATAAACTACAATGCATTCAATAACGGGCCAAACAAAGGTTATATTTGAATAGTGAAAAGGTAATACTATGTATTAGCAACAAAATGTATAAAAAATGAGATAATTGTTAAGCCTGGGTAAATGGACAGGTCATAGCAGGTTACAGGCTGAGTTTCAGCAATGTATTTAAAGGGACACTCCGGGCACCAATACAACTTTAAAGGGACCCTACAGCCAGTAAAACAACTTTAGCTTTATGAAGTGGTTTTGGTTATAGATCATGCCCTTGCATTCTCACTGCTCAATTATCTGCCATTTATTAATAAATCACTTTGTTTATGCAGCCCTGGACACACCTCCCTGCATGTGACTTACACAGCCTATCTAAACATTTCCTGTATAGAGAGGTCTAATGTTTAAACTTCCTTTATTGCAAATTCTGTTTAAAGGAACACTATAACATTAGGTATACAAAACTATATTTCTAACACTACAGTGTCCCCCTGCCCCCTCTCAGTGTTCAAAGGGCTAAAAACATTATTAACACTTACCTTAATTCCTGCATCAAGGCATGTATTAGAATTTCCCCATTGGAAAGCATTGAATCAATTGGGATAGTGGTTATGGTGTTTGGAACTTTCCCTTAAGCACCTATTTAATAAGAACGTCTCTACTGTTTCCCACATTTCAAGCTGGTAACTTACTATAGAAAAAATTTTTTTTCATGTCTAGAATATTCTAGGTGAGATATTTATTCTATAAGAGCATCCACACCTCCCAATATCCTAGTACTAACCCCTCTTCCTATTCAGCTTGGAATGATTGGAGCTTTTCTTGTCATGTTACTCCCTCCTTTTAAGTTATTTACGATGACAAACTCCAAGGTATTTTCCTCTTCTGTTTGAGTCAGTAAAATCCATTCAAAGCTTATGCCGTGTCAGTGTCAGTGTACCCTGAATGAAGAATGTATTTTATTTTAAATATTACATTACTTGTTTGAGTAGAAGAACAAAGACCATGTATAATGTGGCACATCTTTGTAACTGCTAAAATGCACTGATGTATCACAAATTAATGAATATATACTGAAAGGAATAGTCCCAGCAATGTCATTCGTAACTCATCCTCTCTTTTAAAACTCACCATTTGTTAAAATGCTGCCAGGATTACTTACTAAAAGTGAATAGCAGGCCTCCAACCATGCCATTTAGTAGGACTGTCCCAATTCGAGGGTCCTGCTCCACCTTTCCGACTTTGTCACCTTCATGGGCTGAAGACATGCTTGCACTTTGCTCGGTTCACTAGGACCTTGCAGACCTCGGCACCTCGCCACCATCCAAGCCCGCACACAGCAGATCTAGACTGGGGACTAGCTACACCCACAGCTACACCCAACCCTACTATATTGGGCTTGGGACGCCCAGGAATAGGGAGCTCCTGGCTGACCCCAATACTGCACAAGCATAATAGCGCAGTTTATGACATAGAGAGCAGCTATATAGCATGCACTCCCCTCCCCTGACGCCCCCTTGGTTAGGGGCACCACCTCTCCTGAGTGGTCAGACACGCACATACTTGGACACCCCTCTGCAAGAAGGGAAACACACAAGCAGCACCCACTCATAAGAAGACTCTTCCCTTTAACTATTACCCCACCAACCCATTTGTGTTCCTAAGCCAGATGAGAGCCAATACTAATGGCCTAAAACTACCTATACATACCTCGGAACACGTATCTTTGGCACCACCCTCCCTAGATTAAAGAAAACATTCACATGTGTTCTTACACACCACGTTAGACAAACGCTTACTGGGGATACACTCAGGATAAAATATAAAAATGTGCACAACCACAATCACACCACAATCACACCAAATATTTAATACTTGTTATATAAAGCCGAATGATATGCTACAGTGATATACCTGCATGTTTGTTATGCTATGCACATCAAAAATAAAGAATAAAAAAAAATAAAAAAAATAAAATGAATGTAGCGAACATATTTTATTCCTATGTTGTTCGGCTGTCCTTACCCCCTTTGTTCGGTTTGAACAGAACATGTGTGGTCTCCTTTTATAACCTCACGAACACCGACTACCCCTGGCTGTTAACCGCAAATAAGCAATTATCTCAAGTGTTTTCCCTGGTTGTCGCTATTCACATATATGAACACACATGCTCCAAAGAGTGGCGGAGATTTTGTCTCCCGAACGCAGGAAGTGGTACTTTGTCATCGAGTGTATAGAACTCTATACAAATCCCACTACCCTTAACCCTGCAAGTGTAATTATTGCAGTTTTTCATAAACTGCAATAATTACCTTGCAGGGTTAGCTCCTCCTCTAGTGGGCACTTCTGTGTCTATAGCACAGGTTATCTGTGCTAGAGCGTCGTTGGACGTCCTCACGCTGTGTGAGGACCTCCAGAGTCGCTAAATTCCCCATTGGAAAGCATTGAAAGCATTTTCAATGCTATCCTATGGAGAGCTCTAATACGCGTGTACGGCATTGCCGTCCATGCGCATTAGGTCTCCTCAGCCGGCGGCGAGATCATTTTTGCTCACCGGCTAGTGTAAGGAAGAGGAGGAGCGGCGGCGAGCAGAAACTACCGGTGAGGGACATCGGCGGGGGTCTCAGGTGAGTGACTGAAGGGGTTTTCACCCCTTCGGCAACCGGGGATGGGTGGTGGGAGGGAGAGGGGACCTGCAGTGCTAGGAAAACGGATTGTCCCTTTAATGCCAGGCTCTGCCCCCTACATTCATTTTATTAATTAACCTAGTGAATGTTTAGTGAATAAACCCATATATCCTATTGCTGTTAATATAATTGTTTGGTAAGGAAATGTTCTAATAAAAACATCCACAAGTGTTGCGTTATAGAAATAAATATCTCTGACTCTATTTTTATTTCTTGATTATGACAAAACATATTGTTCTGATGAATCATTGCTTAGAAAAGAACATTGAAGTCCGGCTGTAATAGAGAAACATTATGGAAGCAAACACTCCATGTGGCACTTTCCGCGTTATTAATAGTTCTTCGCTAGCACGGAAGCACGATTAATAGATGGATGGATTTACCATCAATGTTTATACCGAAAATCTATTCTGAGCAATATATTAGCATGCCGTATCATGTTCAATATTTACA